GTTTTTTTTTTTAAATAATTGTTTGAGCAGATTATTATGATATGACTTCAGCAGCATCACACACACATATAAACAGAGACATAGAGAAAACCAGTGTACAACAGAAACAATATTCGGGGCCAGGGCGATTCCCACGATCCCATAACTAATCACTAATAGAACACATACATTACATATTAACTAATCAATTAATTATTTATCTATTAGCAGGGCAAAGTGGATCCGTGGGAAAATAAAACATCAGCATACACCGCAGCAACTGTAGGTGGAGATAGAGAGATGTCAAGATGTTTGTTTCTCTCAGGGTTCAGACACTGTAGTGTTTCAAGTCCTGGTCAGGTTTGAATCTTCCTGCTGTAAACCTTAGCTGTTGAATTATTAATGGTACCAGAGCTGTGGGACACACACTTAACCTTAACCTTTCTGTGGTCAGACTGTGATGTTAGGACTGGAGTCAGTTGCACAGTAACACATGCAAAACAAATGATGTTACACTCAGTCTCCATTAGAGGGTGGAAAAATATGATATGATATGAAGAAGTGTTTTGAAAATGATATTGTGAGCTTTAGCACCAAAAAACCTATTTCAGTGTGGGGGAAAAATTATATTCGGGTCAACAATGTTTGTGTTTGACCACTTTCACTGCCTTCCTCGTTTCTTCTCTCTTTCTTCCCTGCACAGGAAGAAGCGGTGGATAATTAGATTACCTGTCCTGGATGGAGAAAGATTATTAAATCTCACATGAGTCGATCCATTTATTTTCCCTGTTGCTGATTCAGACAGCGTTTCTAGATACACAGGAATGGCCCTGACGCTCAGCTCAGGAAAACAGATTTTTAAAACTCCTTATTAATTGTTACTGTTTCAAAACTATAATTATTTGAGGATTTGAGTTTTTTTTTTTATTATTATTAAGCTGGTGTGCATAATAAATGTCAACATTTGAATACACCCTCGACTGGGCAGGTTCTACCAGTTCTCTGCCCTTTCAGCACCTTCAGAATGTTTTCAATGCTTCGACAAAGAAGATTAATAGAAAATCAAAGACGAAACGGCACAAAAGAAAGGGCACGGCTTTGTGAGTTAGGTTTCGTGAGGTGTAAAGTGGGTCATAGTAATACACGTGGCAGAAGAAGGTGAGGCCTGAATTTGCATTATGTCACCCACCTGTAAACAACTCAACAACAACAATTCCAACAATCCAAGTTTCTTAACCTCAGGTGTTTGGAAGGATAAATATTCGTAACATTTGTTACGATCCTGATTCTGAAGAGTTCCAGGGCCTGTTTGACTCTTTAAATATTGATAAGGATCTGTATAGGCTGATGAGTATTGGGGTCCTACAGTGGTTCTTTTTCATTCATTTCATTTTTCATGTTTCATTTGTGTTTACGTTTGCCGGTTGTACACCATACATTGGATTGTGCTACATTTGGTGTCTTTAGTTTCTCTTGTTTTTTGGGGGGAACTGGGGTGAACTTTTTAGACTTCATTATGGCTCCCTAGTGTAAGTCAGACTCAGGTTTTTATGTCCTAGATCAGTGGTTTTCAAACTGTGGTACATGTACCACTGGTGGTACGCAAGCGCTCTCTAGTGATACGTGGGGAAAATTCATTTTTTCACATTTAGAATTTCAATTGAATAAATCTGAAACATACCATGCACAATTAATACAACATTTAGAAAAAAAAAGTGTAGCTACTTGTGAGATTATGAAATAGGATGTCTGGTCTTTTTATTTATTTGCTTGTTTTTTTTGCTGCAATGCAAGTCTGTTGCTCACGTAAGCACAGTTAGTACGGAATCATGGAACGAGCCGGGGAATCCTAATGTTGGTCATCATGGTGGTACTCAGAGAGCTCGATGTTTCCTCAGGTGGTACAGAGTATAAAAGGTTTGAGAAACACTGTCCTAGATTATGATGTTAACGTTGTGTTAGCGTTGGTGAGTGGCGTAGGTACTTCTGTGCGAGTTCCGACTTGCGGCGAAAAACTGAGTTACGTTCCTCTGTATAGATAAAGTAAAATTGCTGATAACAATCAGTGACTGCAGACAGTGAAGGCAGCGCTGCCAACTACCAGCTTTTTTTTAAAATGAAGATGAAAACATGTGCTTCAAACTGTCAATTCAACAAATCTCTACATGGTGATGAATTATACAGTCAAATGTCGTTAGATTGGGGTTGTGACCGCCAGATGATATGAATGGCATCGGCAGCAAAGACGTAGTAGGAGTGTAGGGTAACTAACTACCTGTGTAAAATTAAATAGTTTCCTCCAGAGAGACCAAGAGGCTATTTGTCCCCGAGTCCAAACGGGCCGAACCTAAGTAGACGATCAATACTGATATCTTTAGGCTGGTAACGTAACTGCTCCACTAATATATTATTGATGTCTGGGTCTGGGGCTGTACACAGCCGTTCGTCTTGATCAGCAGCCACATATTCACTGACAGATGAATTCTACTGGAAATGTGTGTGTGTGTGTGTGATTCTGACTGTATGTGGCACCGAAACAACAGAAAGGTATGAGGTGTAAAAGGAACTTTCAGGATGAGTAATGTAGGAGGTTACGGAGCGTGATTGGAAAAGGTCGTCACGGGTCTGAGGTCCCGTGTTTGATTAGAGACGTGTGGCTGTGGAATTCAATATAAATGGGTCTTCAAGGCCGGTGCGCTGAGCTGGTTAGCACTTAGTTGACCTTTGACCTCACAGACACGGGTTTTAAGTAAATGCTGATGGAATATATTTGTATCTGTTCTCAGAATCAACTGCAATCCTCCCCAAAAAAACGATTTATATAAATTGTATATAAGATCTGATGTTGGTCATAGTTTATGGCACGCCTTAATTGTGTGGAATGCTGATGGAATATATTTGTATCTGTCCTCAGAATCAACTGCAATCCCCCCCAAAAAAAACAAAACAAAACATCACATTTTTATCTTGCGCCTTCCCCCTAGTGGTAGTTCGAGCACCCTGGGGTCAGCGACACTTTGGGAATCCCTGCCCCAGAGTTTTAGAAAGACAGAAAAAGGACACACACCTTAATCAAAATGTCTTCCTCTTAACTGGTGTTTAAGGTGTGGGTCGTGTTTTACTCCCTCAGAAGGTTTTTACCAACCGCCTCCAAAGGACTGATTTATTACTATTAAGAATTCATGTTCATACTACCCCACCCTCCATTCACCCTCCTCCTCATTCTTTGCAGTGCTCTGAAATTGCTCTAATTCCACTAATGGAGTGCTCAGCGTCCGGGGCCAGATTGCCGACAGTGACTGATGCCACTTAACTGTGGAAAAATTGGAGAGCGACTTCGCGGCTATCGCTAAATACAGCATAATTGTTGCCAGCGAGGGGTACAGAGGCGCTCGTCACAATAGCCGTGACATGTTTTGCCCGAGAACATCCTGTTATGTGTCTCCGGGGAGGCATATCAAATGACAGGTCTGCAGACTTACGCTGAAGCAGGTTTTAATGAACAAACTTGGAGGCCGTTATTCTTGCAAAGCTAAACACTTTTGAGGCAACAGAGAGCGGGTGAATTTAAAACCTCAGCAAAATAATATACATTATGTGGAAATATTCAGTGGAACGTCTTCAAACCCTTTCTTAATTTTTCCTTTCATTTCACTTTCTTATGCAATCAATCTTTTAAAGAACACATTTAATATTATTATTAACTCATATTATAACACTGGACTTACAGCCCTATAGAAAGAGATGATTTTTTTATTTTAAATCTTTAAAAAAATTACAATAGAGGAATAAAATTACCTTCAGAATTGTATTATTGTTTTATGAAAAATTATGATTTTTTTAACTAATGTTCATCTACAACTTTAATTTTTTTAGCAGCAGGAAATGAATGAATGAATTATTCACTGGGCTTCAATGCTGAGCTCAGCCCTTATGACCATAATATATGTACCATATATTTGTACTAAGTCTTGCCGAATACACACACACAGGTCAACACGGTGGCGCTGTGTCGTCTCAAACACATGCAGACGTTCAAGTCTTTCTTTCTTTCTCTGTTCGCAGCCCATTATCCCTTAAAGTCAGGTGGGATCGGCTCCAGCTTCCCCTCTCAGCCTTCAACTGGGTAATTGGCAAAAGATGAATGGATGAATTGGCCGGCAGCATTAAAAAAAAAAGTGTCCACAGTTCACTGTTTCTGCAGAGCTTGTATACACAGCACACGTGCTCACAGATGGACCAACAGTGGCCAACGAGTCCATTAGCTCTGATTGAAAGTGTGGTCGCACAAATGAAATACATTCAGGGAAGTGCAGAAATAGACACACATACAGTGTGTAGTTCCAGGGCACTGACGCTGAGATGTTTCAGAGAGAGGGAGGAGGATGCAGTTTTTCACGTTCTGTGACCAGTGCCTGTCATTGGTGATTTCAGATATCTAATGACGCTCCAAGCTAATCAAATTATAATTCATCTGTGTACACAATGTGCTGTGTGTATCGCCCTTAAACACACTCTGCATTAAACTGGGCTGTCACATAAACAAAAAAATATTTTTGAGATCTTTGAAAGTTAAAACCTATACAGTTATGTTTTTTTTTTGTTTGTTTTTTTTTACCGGTTTTTTGGTTGGTCTGTGGCGTAAGGTCAAAGTTTAATACCACCCGTTTTTTGCACATTAAAATCTCACAACTCAAAATAAGTTCTACATGGAACTGCTCACTTTGTCTTTAAATAAACAATAGAAACAAGTAGTCAAGAAGTCATCGACAGTCGTTTTCTAATTCCTGAAGCATACTGGAAATATTCTGTTAGAAGCAGGAAGATAAAAGGAGGCTTATCATCCTCATTTCCTCTCTGCTTTTGTACAGGATGTGTTTAATGGACCTCCAGGCTGTGGAAGCTGCACAGGGACAAGGACGAGGAGCCCAGGAAGGTGGAGGAGGCAGAGGAGGCTGTTTGTCGTAATCAAAGCAGCGCACCAGTGTAAGTGCAGATGGATGCAGGTTGTACATGTGGTTCTTGATGAAGTGTTGTTCTCCCGCCGAGCCGCCAAACTATTTATACACAACACAGTGACAGCCTATGGGCACTGGAGACTTTCTCCTCTCCCTTCCTAATCACTCCATCCTTCATTCGTATCCTCTTCTCCTCACACAGTGGTAAACAGAAAACAAGGGCTATGTTGTTTTTTTTGTGATGGATTGAGTGGCAGCATGAGGGTAGGAGCATCGCTGAGATCAAAGGTCAGCAAAGATGTTTGGATTCAGCTGCAGCTCTGACATCATTAATAATAAATCACTATCTGGTTGGGACCCCACTGCGTCTTCAACGCCTACACGGGCGCATTAAAATATTAAAAAAACAGGATGCAGTGTTTCTAGTGTTTTTTAGAATGCTTTTTACAAGTCATTAAATACTGTTAACTCTACAAACAGGTCGTTCAAATGGTGGCTGAGGTCATTTGAGAAATGCAAAGGAGAGACTGGAAGCATCAGAATTGGTGAGTATTCAGAAATACATACAGTACACACGCATATAGTAGCAACATGCAACCCATAATGCACCATGTCCCTCACAAGGCAGAAACTCAGAAATTTTTGATCAAGATAATGATCTTTTAATAATGATAATTTAATTAATGTTAAATTATTAATGTGACCTAAGGTTTATAAGTTACTTGATTCGAAAATCTGATTTAGTCTAATTTTAAAAAAAACCCTAACAACACTGTATATGATTATAATCATATACATAATATTTAAATGTATCTTTAAATTGGCAGCTTTTTTTAATTGAAGCAGAATTCTTTTTAAACTTTTTAAAATACATTTACCCATAATCCCTCATTAATTACATACACAGTCTGATTAATTACCCCTCTTGAGATTAAGACACACACCCCCCGTTAGCTATTAACCTGTTATGTAAAGAACTGAGACTATGAGCAGCAGCTCAGGATACGGTGACACGTTCTGTCGTCGTGCTTTGGTCCTGTATTAGAAAATTCATTCTATCAGTGGCAACAAGAACAATCTGAGGGACTCAATTCCCACGTTAATACATTAAAATGTCAAAGCTATATGTTAAAATGTCAAACCCATTAATGGTACTGCCAGTCTGCTGTGGTAAAATGTCAGGAAGCAAACAAACGCACGAAGCGGTGAACGAAGAAAAAAAGGGGGATTTGACTGGTGAAAAACAATCCAAACAATCCCATTTCCAGACTCATTCATATAAACGTTGGGGCTTATTTTCCAAGTAGAGGCAGTTGAAATGGACAGGTGTAACTTATCCTAAAATGTGAGCTCGCAAAATGTAGAACTTTGGATAAAGCAGTATTTTGAGGAGGGGTAACGTTATGGTGCGATCATCTGCAGCGACACTGCCACCTACCTGTGTTCTCCCCCTTTTTCACCTTCTCTTCAAGGTGAAAAAGTTCAGATTATTATTGTTAGAATAATAATAGTAATTTTTAATAATATTATTATTGTTAATGGCAGTTTGTGGCCTAGTGATAAGACAATCAGTAATGTCAACAGAGGGTTGCACGTTTGAATCCTGACATCTTGTTGTATGGTTTTATGAACCCTGTGAAACACTGGAAATAACAACTAAAAAAATACCATTGTTATTTGATACTCACAACAATCTTGATTTAAGAAATTGTATTGTATTGTTTTTCTCTCTGAATCTTGTGTAGCGAATATGATACAAATATAGGTTTTATAGGGTTGATGACATGATAATAACACGACTATTTTTGTTTTTTTTTAATTAATTACAAAAAATTAAATTGACTTGTCTCTCTGTGTGGTATATGTCATTACCACCTTTGTATTCCTTTTTGTAAAAGCAAAAATCAACATGTGTGTTATTCTGGGTTGTTGATTGAGGCCCTACTGAGCCGCTTCAATCACACTGTAGGGGGTCAGTGACATAAACATCCGTCCCCAAAGTCACCTTTCACTGATTGGATCTGAGGTTGAGTGCTGTGGAGTGGAAGAAAGGCTAAAGGTGGGGAAGACGGGTGATGAAGAGGACAACAGTTGTGTTTTCTCAGGATCAAACCACCAGTTTATTCCATGTTGTCATTTTTTTTCTTTCAACAATCACTGTGTTGCACTTGTATTTGCCAGAACATTTGTCTCTTTTCCATGTACGCAACTCTTACCTTGTTAGTTTTAAAAGTGGTCACTGTTGAGACAAAAGCAGACAAGGACCTGCTGGGGAAAATCAGGGGAAAAAAAAGAGCAAAGAGTAGAGAAGCAGAAAAAGATTTCTGTTGCTCTTCCTGATAGACCCAGCCAGGCCATTCATTACTCCCCAAACGCCAGCCGGTGTCAGTTATATTACTGCGAAGCCGTCCCTGACTGACGGCCAGGAGTAGGGGGAGAAAAATGGCAGCGAAAATGCTGCTGGGTTCCCGAGAGAAACGAAGGGAGGGGCAGTGATGGATGTGTGTGTTTGACCCAGCGACGGGTCTCTTCCAGATGAGACAGGAAGTCGGCAGCGTCTCTGCCCCTCTGCCCAGAGCATTCCAGCCTTGTCAGGATGAGTGGCTTCATGCTAAACTGCCCCTGTCAGTGTTTCTATCAGCGGTGTCAAGACAGACAGTCTCCATATTCAACAGACGGAGCTGGGTCTCACTTTATGGGAATTTTGAATCACAGCTGAGCCCTCCGCTGAGTTTGAGACGGGCCTGGTGTCAGCGTGAGGGCAGACACACGCCACCATTCAACTGTAGTCACCAAAATAACAATGGGGAATATCAGTATAAGTGTTATTTACATTATGTAATGGTTGATCTTTAACTACACTTTTGTTTTCCCTTTTTCACCTTCTGTTAAAGGTGGTGGTTGGTGATAATGATGATTCTTCTTCTTCTTCTTATTGTTATAATATGAATACTAATTAATATTATTATTATAAATGGCAGCTTGTGGCCTAGTGTTAAGACAATCAGGAATGTCAACAGATGATTGCGTATTTGTAATTTGCCATGTTCTGCTTTGGATGTAATCTTTTGGGTTTTTTTCTTATTTGCTATTCTTACTAGTTTCTATTTAAGGTAGGATTAAGTACTGTATATATATAGTATATATATTCCCTACAACTGGTAATTAATTTAAAAAAGCATTTTTATAAAGCAATTTGAATGTGATTTTTTAAATTTGATTTTATATAAGACTATAAAGTTATACATAATTTTATTATCATGTAAAAAAAAATTTATTGAACAGAACAATCGCTCCAGATTTCTATCTCTATTTGCATAAATGTTATATATTAGAAAACAAATCTAATTTAACGGGGTTTTTATATTTAAATTGACTTCATATTTAACTTTTTGTTTTGTAACTGTGTTGAAGCATTCAAGTTAATAACCTACAGTTGATTAAACAAAACAAACAGGATCAGGAATTTGACAATTACATTCAATGCGGATTCTTCGTCCTGTTCAGCCTGTGACGTCAATCGCGCTGACGTCACGTTGTTGACGATTACGGAAGCAGATTCTTGCACTAGCTTTTTAACTACTGACCAAAACACATACGATGTCTACGTGTTAATTGGCTACGACATCGGAATAAGTCCGAAATATCGCTCTGATTCGGTCCTTCTTTTTCTCCCACAGTGTCTCCGTGGGGTTAGAAGCAGCTGAAGAGCCGAACGACTGAGATGGAGGTAAAGAATTCAGTGTCAAAGGATTAGCCTTAGCCGGACTCGAGTCATAATGCCTCAATATATCCTTTTAATTCAGTGTAATTACGGTGAAATTTGATACTTGTCATCTGTAGTCACGAGGGGAATCAAACCTCAAACTAAGGATTAACGGAATAGAACGGTTGACGTAATTTGATTCTTACTGTGACAATCTTTATTATTAAATGTAGTTGAGTGTATGTAGAACTACTCCGTCCAGTTTAAGACCCGAGGCTTTGAAAGTAGTGTATTCTATTTCTACTTGTATATAGTGTCTTTGACTGAACGGTTCTCACGTTTCCAGTCCCTCAGGCTCTTCCTAGAATACACGTGTATCATGAAAGATACTTTTGTGTTTTTTGGCAATCAAGAATATAATGATGAACACTGCCACCTTTGTTGAAGCTTATATTCACCTTCAAATATGGCACAGTGATCCTGGCATATTTAAGTCTTTTTTTTCAATAGGTTCCAAGATTCTAATTCTTAAATGTTCTTTTGTTTAAATGCTGCAACAGGATCCTGGTGGTACTGGAGCAGAGACTGCGGCTCCATCGCCTGCAGCCAAGTCCAAGGTACTGTGAACAAAACAGTTCATTTTAAGAGGTCTTTGACAGGTCCGTACTGTTGTCTGTATCAATTCATCCTCTCCTTTTACATGAATTCTCAGCTGGATACGCTGTCCAAAGATGACCTCATCAAATTTTGCAAGAAGCAGATGGCTGCCATGCAGAAGATGAAGAGCAGATGTGCAGGTGGTTAGATGTGACAGATTGTGTTTGAAGATGATGAAGAAAGGTTCTGTGTGTGAACTCACATTTCTGACCTCATGTTCATTTGTGATGATATTTGATCAGACTTGGAAAAAGAAATTGAATCCTTCAAACAGTCTGGAGGCACTAAGAGCAGTCCAGATGACACCTCGCTCATACAGGTTTGTTTTCGCAAGGCGTCGTGTTTCATCACATCCTGGCTTTCAATATTTGCATAAACTCAATGTACCTAATTTCCCTACTGTGTTTCTTGTGTGGAATGTTGAAGGAGTTGACTGAGCGCATGGATGCCTTACTGCTGCAGAAGGCAGAAATTCAGCAAAGTCTTGTAATGACCTCTAAAAACCTAGAGAAGACTAAACAGCAAGCCAAGGTACACACTCACAAAAAAAAATCCAATTTCTCCTCAGGCATGCTCATAATGACACCATATCATACTTTTATTTTTTATCTGCACAGGATGATGTAGCCAAGATACAAGGGGAGCTTTCCCAGGTGCTAGAAGACCACAAGAAGAAAATCACTGCTCTGGAGAGCAGCTTAAATGAGTCTAACACCAAACACCGGGAGGAGGTCGCTTATTTTCAGAATTTGCTGAAAGAACGAGAAGAAGAAGACAGGGCAAGAGAGAGTGAGAGGGAGAGGCAGCGTCAGGCTGAACACGCCAGTGTCACAGAGAGGGTCGATGAAGTGCGCCAGAATTTTGTAGTTCAGCTGGAAAACCTTAGAGCTGAACTTGAAGAAAACATGGAGAGAAATAAACAGGAGATTGCCGAGCTACAGGAGGGCCACCAGAAGGAGTTGACCAAGTCCCAGCAGGAGGTGGAGAACCTGAGAGAGGAGCTCGCTCAGAAAAGTCTGCAGCATGACGAGGAAATGAGGGCCCTGGAAGAAGACTTTGAAATAGAGAGGGACCGACTGCTGTTGCTCCATGAGGAGCTGACGGAGCAGCTCGCCCTAAAAGGTACTTCAGTTATTTATTTAATGTTTAATTTAAATTTATTTCTGATTTCTCCAACAATTAAAGAAATGTTGTTTCTCTACTCAAGTGTTTAAACACATCTATTTCCTTCATTATATATATTTTAATAGTAATAGTAAATAGTAAATGTGGTGATAAAATATTTACAATAATATTGTACATTATGAATTTGTACAGATGTTATTAGTATTACTTAACATTAAGATTAGCAGAAATTCCTCAAATGAAAGTCAAACTCAACATTTAAACGTGATCTACAGACAGCTTTTTGCAAGACGTCCAAGAAGAAGAGGAGGAACCCACCCACGGATCTGGGATCGCCAAAATGCTGGCACTCTCCAGAATGAATCAGGTTGACTTGAGCACAGTGGATGGCGATGATACGGACGGTGTCAGAATGACGGCAGCTCTGGAAGACCTTCAGTCCAAGAACACCATGTTACAGGACGAGCTCACTCTGCTCAGCAATGTGAAGACGGAGATGGAAGCTGAGCTGGAGAGAATCAAGGAGGAGTTCCAGGTGGAAAGAGAAGAGTTAGAGTTCAAAATCAACGAAATGCAGATGAGCAAGGAAAATTCCACCATCGACCCCGACATGACAACTGAGTCTGAGAAACAAGAAGTTCAGGTAGACTCTGAAGGGTGCGTCGAGACTCCAGATGAGCACCAATTGAAAACCGATGGGTTGAGTGACCTCTGTGAGACCTTGAGAGGCGACAGAGATGCTGCACTGAAAGAATGTCAGAGCCTGAAGGACAAACTTGAAATTGTGGAGAGAGAACTGGGTGAAAAGACTCGTCAGTATGAAACCATGAAAGAACAGGAAGCAGATACTTTACAACAACTCCAAGACAAGGTGGAACAGCTCACTCAAGAGAGAGAGACATTGCTAACGTCGGTTAAAGAGGTCACGGAGGAGAACAGCACTCTGATGGAGAGCTTGGCAAAACAAAAGCAGGAGCTGGAAGTTTCTGCAGGTGAAGACCAGAAACTCCATGACCAGAGAAGTGCCGCCATGGAGGAGCTGACCAGGCAAAATGAGGAGCTCATGGCCCAAATGCAGGTGAATGAAACAATTACCCAAGACCTCAAGGAAGAGTTGAAGTCCCTGACAGAAGAGCATGAAAAAATGCAATCTCTGCTCCGTACGTTAGAGGAAGAAAAGCAAAAAGTTAACGAACAGAAGGCCAAAGATTTTGAGATTCTACTTGAAGAGAAAGAGAATGAGTTTAAAGCTCTGAAAGAAGCACAGGACAATAAGGTCAAACAATTCAGTGAAGAGAAAGAAAAGATAGAACTGAGCCTTAAAGAAGAGATTGAAAAAGAGAGAGAGAGATTCTTTACTCTAGAACTAAGCCTTAAAGGAGAGCGGGATAAAGTTTCTGCTTTGGAAATGACCATCAAAGAGCTTGACTCAGAAAAAACAGAACTGCACCAGAAACTGGAAGAGGCCTCATCAGGTTTTGCCAAGGCCCAGGAGGAAAGCGAACTTCTGGGCTCCAAGCTGTCGGCCCTGGAGGCTGAGCTGGAACAGGAGACGTCAGAAAAATGTCATCTAGAGGTAAGGTTGAAGGCGGTGACAGAGGAGGCGGAGCAGAGCCGCACCTCTGTCAGAGAACTGGAAGAAAGAATGACTGAGGTTCTCAGACAGTCCACGGAGGATGCAGAGGAGCTCAGAGCACGTGGGGATCAAAGACAAGACGACGAAATGCAACAGCTCAGCGATCCGAGTGCAAGCGAATTCCAAACGCTGCTGGAGGAGAAAGCGAAGGAGTTGATAGCTTTGAAAGAAGAAAAAGAGACTGAAGTTCAACAGTTGAATGAGGAGAGGCGAAAGACAGAACTAAGATTAGAAGAAGAGATGGAAAAGGGGAAGGAGACAGTGTCCGCTCTGGAGACGGCGATCAAAGAGCTTCACGTGGAAAAAAATGCTTTACATCAGAACCTGGAAGAGGCATCATCTGCACTTGTTAAGGCCCAGGAAGAGAGAGATCTTCTCGGCTCCAAACTGTCTGCCCTGGAGGCTCAGCTGGAAGAAGAAAAGCGTCACCTGGAGGAGAAGCTAAAGGTAATGACGGAGGAAGCAGAACAGGCCCAGGCCTCAGTTAGGGAACAGGAGGAAAAACTGAAGGAAGTCCTCCGAAACTCCACTGAGGAGGCAGAGGAGCTCCGTGCACGTGTAGAAGAGCTGGGAGAGGAGAAGGATCTTCTGAAGACGACTCTTCAGCACGTTCAGCAGCAAGCAGAGGCCACAGCAGCGAGCCATCAGGATGAGCTCCAGGCCCACATCCAAGACCTGGAAAAGGAGAGGATGATGTTGAAAAGCACCATGGAGGAGATGATGAAGGACAACGAAGGGCTGCAAAGAGACCTCCTGGATATGAAAGCCGTCTGTGAAAAAATCAGTGAAGAAAACCACACACTGCAGGCTCAGATAAACCTGATGGCCGAAGGCAAACCAGAAGAGGAGGCTGAGGTGAAAGAGGAGGAAAAAACGCAATACGTGGAGCAGCTGACAGAGAAAGACTCGCTCATATCCAAGCTGAGGAGTGAGATGGCTGCTCTTCAGGTGAGTGAACTCCTGCAAGCATCACGTTTCTCTTGGTGTGCAACACTCCCAGGTATTACGTCTTTGAAATTGAATATCATAATGACCAGTTTCCCAGGTCAATGAAAACTGGGTTTGGCGGTAATACTGGTTGATCACGGTTCATTTTCGTCATCACTACATATTTGTTTTGGTTAAACACCCACAAACAAAATAAAATAAAGATAAAAACAAGATTATTCCAATGCCCATGAAAAGATTTTGGGTAATGAGTAAATTATGGAATGTCAGCAAAACAAATAAAATTTAAAATGTTGTAAAATGCCATAACCTGTAACTTGACCGTGACCGTGTACCGCTTTGAAACCTCAAAGAAACACTGAATTTTTTTAATGTTCCCATGATAACTCTTTCCTTCCTCTGCAGGAGTCAGCTGACCAGTCTGCATCTTCTGAGGAAAAGGCCGGTGATGAGATCACAAAGAAAATAGGTTTGTCTAGTTTAAAAATATACATATATATATTTGTGCTTATTATAGTAAATTGATCTCTGCAATTATAATAATATTGAATATTTTTATGATAAGTAAAACAAAAATACAGTGTGTTTTTTGTGTATCATCAAAATCATAATAAATAATAAATGATTTTTTATTGCCCTAATGACCTTGTTTACTAAATTGGGTCACGAGCAGCCTGAGAAATGTCTAGTAATTTTTTTTGTTTTGTTTTTATTTAGTGATAAAAATATTTTGTATTATTCAAAAAAGACAAAAAAGGTTGTCCATAAAGGTTGGAAATGACCAATACAGAATAAGGTGAAGAAAAAAATGATTTAAAAAAATAAAATAAATAATAATCCTCTACAGTATTAAACAACCGTGTATTGAGCCTGTTAATTTTATCAAGTTGTGCGTTTTGAATTACATTCAGAGTACATTAAAAAAAAACTTTGAACTCATTTTCCTTCCAGAGCTTCTGCAGAAAGACAACAAAGACAAAGAAGAGAGGTTCAACAAAGTTAAAGCTGTGGCTGTGAAAGCTAAGAAGGAACTGGACCTTAGCAAAAAAGAGGTAAAAAAAAAAAAAAAAGATTTGTTATAAAATCAGTTGATTTTTGTGTCAGTGCTGACGTTGATGATTCAAAATTAGCATTAAGTTGTTGTTTTGTTGTTTTTTTTTTGCAGGTTGCAAACCTCAAAGAGGAAATAGAATCACTGAAAGCTGAGAGGGAGAGAAGGAACAGCTCCATGAAAGACATCATCCACGGTGCTGAGGGCTACAAGGTGAGAGGAGACAGAGGGGGAGGAGTAGACAGTACCTGTATGTTGTTAATGTGTGTAAATTACACCTTAAACATAAATAATAACTATAATTAACATATTTCTTTCCTAAATTAGAACTACGGAAATATGTTGATTTGTTCTGGGCTCTGTTTGTGTCAAGTTGCAAAACGTTTAAAATAATTGATTTCATTGTTGTATTTATGTGTTTTTGTTGTTATTTTATTCTTCTTGATACTTGAGATTTTTTTTTTAATGATTAAATAACCTGCAATGTGATGTGACTCCCAGTGGTCTCTATAAACAGCTCCCACAATGCTTTGTGCTTTATGACTGAGGGAAAAACCACATTGTTGTGTCTAATGTTTTTTTTTCTCCCCCCACCCCGTCTGTACTGAAACCTAAATGAAGCTGATATTTGAGATTCATGTTGTTTACCTTCACCGAGCTGTTCAACCGGTATCCAGTGAAAAACGTGTGTGTGATTGTGTTTCCTTTTGTGTGTGTTTGTGTGTGTAGAACCTGCAGATAGATTACGACAAGCAAACTGAGCAACTGGATAAAGAGAAAGAGAGGGCGGAGGCGGCTGAGAGACAGATTACTGAGCTGACCAAACGACTCAGCAGTGCTGTCACACAGGTAGCACACACTCCATCACACACACACACACATATATAACCAGTGACAAACACACAAAGTGCTTTTGGCCACCGGTAAATCTCAGCCGTGCCACTTTGCTCAGCAGTTCATCTCTCATATAGTTTCCCTGTAACTCAGGTTTGAGTCTGATTTACAGTGAGTCATTTTTACCCGTGACACTTTCCCCGGCCATGCTTGACAGCTCCACACCCTCGAATAGCTCATTAGATGTGACTGGGTGATCCCGGGAAAAATACACTTCGCTCTTGAAGCTCATAACTGTCTCTTTCCAATGAGAGAACTACAGTCAGGTAAATGGAGCAGAGCGCAGCCGCCATCTGCTACACCGTGGTGCCGCGCCATTATCTGAGACACGGGTTTATTCCTGTGTGTGCACGTTTGTTTGTGGAGTCCCAGGAGGGTTGGGCAGGACTAGGATGTAGTCCTGGAAGGTAAATCACACTGGAAGGAGTGTGTCCAGACGTCTCTGTTTGCCAATCAGAGTTTTGGTGTTGGGTTGACAGACGATGTGATGCTGCTGCTGCTGCTGCTGCTGTTGTTGCTGTGGCTCTCCTTGCGTGAGAAAGCCCACAGAGAGCGCTGCTGTCAGATTTGCATCACTGACTTCCAGTCTGTGCATTCCTAGATGAAAACATTGTAGTAATTACTGGTTATTTTTTAACAATCAAACAAGACAACAGTTGTGTTGTACATTTGTACACAAAAGCCCTGGATGGTGAATACTTAGACTTTAATATAAAAATATATTTTACAGTGGACACACACACACCTCCTGCCCTCTGAAGGAAGAGATTAATTCCCAAGTTGGCCACTACGGACACGATGATTTGATTCTTGTTCATTTCCATTTCTCCAGTTTTCACATACTTGTTAAAATCTTTCCTCCTTCGCAGACTGAAACCCTGACCAGTGAGAAAGAGGACCTTATGGCCGGTTTGGAGACCATGAGGAACACTGTGAGGCAGCTGGAAGGCCAAAACCAGGATCTGCAAAAACAGTCGGCCAGTCTGGACAAAGACTTGCTGACTGAGAGAGCAATGAAGGAACAGAAGATGAAGGTAGACGCAGAAACTCATGCATGAGATAAAAAAAAAAAAAGAGACCTGTAGTTCAACTCTGGGGTCACCAACTTCACCTTAATGTCACCGCTCATGCCGAACCTTCTTTTTGTTTTCTTCCCATTGCAGGACTTGTCGTCTGCTGTCAAGGAGGTAGAAGAGCTGACAGCTCAGCTCCAGAAGCAGCAGCAGCAGTCTCAGCAGACTGCTCAGGAGCTGGAGCAGCTACGCAAGGTACACACACTCTCAAAAATACACAAAAAACACACACGAGCGTCTCAAAGGGCCTGTCCAGTCAAGTGACTGGAGTGCTGATGGCCGGCCCACGGCTACAGCAGAACCTCTCAGAAGAAAACAGGGAGCGACGCTTTGCCCACAGCACGAAAGGCCATTAGTGGAGGCACAAATAGTAGAAATGTCTGCCGGGAGGAATGACCATGTCATGTGTCCATTTTGTAACAGTATAAACAACAATGCATTTTTATTAAACCAGGGTTCACTAACTATTAGTTGATAGGCTAGAAGTTTTGTTTTTTTAAATCATCTATTGACTGTGTAGTTGATAGGCTAGAAGTTTTGTTTTTAAATCATCCATTGACGGTGCAGCTTATACACAGTGCATGAACATGTTATGGTCTTTTGAATTCTCTCACTGTAGGAGGCGCAGCAGAACTCCCTGCTGGACATGGAGATGGCAGACTACGAGCGTCTGGTCAAAGAGCTTAACGCCAAAATCTCGGAGAAGGATGAACTCGCTGAGGAGCTGAAATCCCAGATAGACACACTCTCCCAAAAGGAGGACAAACTCAGGAAGGAAAATGGTATGAACCCTGTTTGTTTGACTGGAAACACAGACGTGTAGCTTCACCTCTTTATACACAGTGTTATTTACACACACACACACACAGCCTGTCCTGTTTTATTATATTAAAAATTAATGGTACTCACTTTACTTCAATAATGACTGTTTGACGCAAGTCTTTGAGGATTTAAACAGGACTAGAATAAAACCAGACGTCAAATTACATGTTAAACCAGTCATCTGTTTGGTTAAAATAAAAAAGTGTAAACCAACTGAACTGGACAAACAGGATGGGTCATTTGCCTTAGTTGGCTGAGGTTAAGACAAATATAATGTAAACTGAAAATCACATTGATCGTAAACATGCATTATTCCTGCAGCGTATAATTTTTTTTTTTTTGCATAAAATTTAAAAGTTAGTCATTTTTGTGTTGCAGTTTACAGACATTTTACATACAAAGGCAAACTTCTTTTGGCTGCAGTTTACAGACATTTTTCATACAAAAGGCAAAAACAAGAAATCTTTTGGCAAAAATATTAATGTTAATATTAATGTTTAAATATTAACAAGGTGCATTCGTGTGTGTGTGTGTCTTTGCAACTGTGTGAATCTGTGCATCTGTGCCTGTCTCCAGAGTCTTTGAAGTCACAGATAGACCAGGAGGAGGAGAAAACCTCCAAGATGAAACAGTTGTTGGTGAAAACCAAGAAGGACTTGGCCTTCTCCAAGAAACAGGTGTGTGTGTGTGTGTTTCCAAGAACAGCCTCATTGTTAACTCCTCTCTGATGCTGCACTGATCCTATTGTCAGTTTCCATTCATTACTAAGTGTCCACTGTAAATCATACTCTTTTGTTTTGACAGCAGTGTTAAACATGGAACAGTATTCTGTGACTTGTTTATTTACACAGCACATACAACAGAAATGGATTCAGTTGCTACAGAGATTTAAAAAATTAATTTGATCCACTGAATACAGGATACAGGTCTTTTAGAAAGTTGAAATTAAAAATTAACATTTTACAAATACTGTTGCCTGGTAAACTGAACATCTCCCTGATTTAAACATTGGATTCTGTGTGTGTGTGTGACATCACTGCCTGATGAATGTAAATTGTGTAATGCAACCATGTGTGAGGCACTTATGTTGAGGAGACCTTGAAGATGGTGACGATAGCTTTTTCCTGTTTCCTGTAAACATCAAACCTTCAGACTAGATTTTCTCCAGGGGAGCCAGGCTAACACAAAGGCTAACATTTTTACTTTTCATACTGATTGAATCAAAATGCTCGGTAAAATTTCAATAGCTCGGACTTCTCCACAATTGACAGAGCGTCTTGATTTTGATGTGTTATACAATAGGAACAAAAATAAAATATTAAAAACCTCTAAATTTAATTGCTAATTCAGAAGGTCTCCTGTGGACAAATATTTATCACATGTTAAAGCCACAGTACCCAAGGTTCTGTGAGGTTTTTTTTTTTGGTATTTTTTTAAGCCTGATCTTGGACATTGTTTGCTCTTTGTAACAATTCTTCACTTTCTTCTTTCTCTTTTTTTTCTGCCGTGTTGTTCATGAGTGCAGGAAAGTTCCCTCATGATGCGGCAGGCCTTTTTACAAGGAGAACTAGAAGCCAACCAGCAGCTGCTGGAAAGTTCCAAGGTGAATTTGACAACCAGTAAACACATGGAATAAAAAAATGCAAATATGTCATTTAATCTCTATGGATCTGTTCATGAAATCAGATTGAGATGTCAGAGCTGACGGCGGATCGTCATCGACTGCAGGAGCAGCTGAGGTCCGCCTTGGAACAACAACAGAGAACCAACGTCCTCCTACAACAGCGCATCAGCAGCCTGCAGACAGAGAGAGACAACGCTAAGGTATAGCAGCACTGTCGTAACCCTGCCGTGAGACAACGCTAAGGTACAGCAGCACTGCAGGTCGTAACCCTGCCGGCTCATATTGGTTCATCTGACCTGTATACATTAATACTGTATAAAGCATTTGTTTTATTTTAGTGAGTTTTATTTACGACGACTCTCCTTCTGTTTGTTGTTTTTATTTCAGGCTGAGCTTGTGGCGACAACTAGTGAGTTTGAGAGTTACAAAGTGAGAGTTCATAATGTGCTCAAACAGCAGAAAACCAAAACCACAGCTCAGGGTGAAGGAGATGGTGGGAAACAAGACAGGTGAGCTACATCATGAACACTCTGAGTTTGAGCATTTAAATATGTTTATTCCCTTTATCTTCTTGGCCTTGTTGTGTTTCCATGTTTCTTCCCCCTGTGGTTTTCTCATTGTACTTTATTAGATTCACATTTAAAAAGATTTTATTGTGTGGCTAAGTGCTTCGAAAGGAATGTGTGGGTGGTGTTATTGTGTTTGTTATAAGAATTATAATCATGTTTGAACGAAAAAGTGTGGAGCTTTAATTGCTAGATCACTGGAGGAATTAAAATCTCACCACTAAGCTGCAACGTTATTCACAATTAAGAGGACTAGAAAATAACCACACTAAAAGCTGCATTAGTTTTCTGCTTTTCACTACTTTAAAATTCAGCAAACATGTCTGGAAAAGACAGAAATGAAAACAGGTTTGAAACACAATATTTATATATATATATATAATTATGGAATGTTGACTGATCTTGATTTATAATGCTATGTTTAACATCTAAGCTGTGATTACTCTGAATTGTTTGACAGCCCTTATATGAACAAAACAAGTCATTAACATGTTCAAACTCTGTGACCCTTGCTGAAGAGAACGCTGACTCGGGGAGTTTGTGCCAGTCAGGTTTTATTAAATGTGCTGTAATTGTAATGAATGAGTCATGTGTCTGGCAGGGAGCAGTGGTCCTCTCAGGTGGCCCAGCTGAAGACCAGGCTGACAGACAGCCAGCAGAACCTCCAGAGCTGCACAGCTGAGCTGCAGCAGCTTCAAATTGAACATGACACTCTCCTGGAGAGACACAACAAAATCTTGCAGGAGAATATTGGAAAGGAGGCTGAACTGCGTGAGAGGTGAGCTGGATAGATTCACGCTCTGCGACCATCCGACCTGCTTGGTGTGTTTGTGCTTCCTTGTACATTGTATCCCTTCGTTTGTCTCATGTCTCGTCCTGTAAAAGCACAACATGTGAAATATTAGTACCTCAAGTTTCTCCAGGCAGATTGCAAGCGTTTTTGCCGTTTCTGCGTCATTCCCACGCCTCAGCACTCTCAGCGCTCTTTGATTTCCTCTCACTCTCTGTCTCTGCCCGCAGGCTCCTGTCCGTGCAGTCAGAAAATGTCACCCTGCGGTCGGACTTGTCCCAGACTCAGGCTGACCAGTTGTCTCAGATTGAGGCCCAGCGCCAGGCTTATAGAGAACAGATGAGGAAGGTGCAGGATGACCACAGAACAATCGTGGAGACCCTGCAGAGCCAGCTGACCCGCGTTGAGGAGCAACTGTATGCCCTGCAGAGCCAGAACAGTAAGATTCAATGACACATTATTTACTTCATTTAAAGCCCACTTTTTGTCCTGAAGAATTTGAATAAAATTGTCCTTTTTTTGTATTTGGTACAATAAATACATATGAAGGAAGTGCCGCTCGTGCAGGGGTAATAGAGAAATGTCGTACATCGGTTAAAGGGAATTGTGGGAAAGGGAACAGAGTAAGAGGGGTGGTACATTGACGAGTAGCGCTGGAAGCACATTCATCACCTCCTACACATCTGCACTCTGTGGGCAAATGGCAAATACACACACAGAGTAAAAACCTGGAAAGGAAAGCGTGGTGTTTACGTGTGGAATTGCCAGGTGTCGCTCAGGCTCCTCAGCTACAGTACGTTTCCACCTCTCACTGGAACAAACGGTTCACTGTGGCATCTGGAGAGACTCATCATTAGTGGTCGGGATCTGCACGCCAGGATTAGACTGAAACAAAGAGACAGTATAAGAATAGCATCTGGAGAGACTCATCATTAGTGGTTGGGATCTGCACGCCAGGATTAGACTGATACACAGAGACAGTATAAGAATACAAGGCTGATACGAAAAAAGCAAAAACCACAGAAGGGTTTCACATGTCCAAGTGTTTCTTTTTTACTGGACAACGCTCACTGATTCCCCATTGGATGCTGCTAGTTGAATGTAACCAAAATCAAAATACTGTCCTGTTATATAGTCAATTATGACAAAAACTGTGCTGTGCTCTTACTTTGATTCTCTACATGAGTAGTGAATGATGTTGTTTTGACCATTACCTCAGTGACTCCTACAGGGCAGATGAGGGCAGTCACGAGGAGTCAGTTTCAGGTCCATGAATCATAATCTTTTCTTCTGTCCACCCACTCTTACACACACACACACATTTTCTCTCAGCCTTTTGTTCTCCAGTTCTCATCATGCAACAAAGCTGGTTGGCACAAAAGTGAGTCTGGTGCCCCCTCATGTCACAAAGAAGTAGGACACCTTTTGGCATCTTGGTGTTAGATTTTGTTAATATTAATTTTTAAGGATTATTTTATTATTTTGAGTCCCATGTTTTAATAGTAGGTAGTATAAATTAAATCTATCTTTAGGGTACAAAATATGTATGACATCTACTCACATGCAAATGTGTTTTATCTGGCAAATAATGGAGTGAGACTTAATGTGTCCTCCAACAGGTCCAGTGTCGATGCACGCTAATCGAAAGCCTTTGGGATTAGATATTCAACGCAGAAATGGAGACCAGATCCAGGCAGGACTGGGGATGATGTCACTGAGCGACGTTCAGTCTATGGCCAGAGAAGAAGGAGAGGGAATGGAGATGATTGAAAGTGAAAGTCCCTCTCCTGCACTTACACCCCTTCCTTCTCTGGAGCAGCTGCTCACGTCGCCAGATCCCAAACAAGGTGTGTGTTTCTACAAAAATCCATATTAGAATTCAGCTTTAAAAGTACTTGTCCTCTGTGATGCAACAAATACCAATTTTTCTTTTTCTTTTTTTTTCTATCTGTAGAGCCATTTGTGTGGACGGTGGAGCCGACCAAAGAGGAGCTCAATCAGAAGCTGAGCACAGCAACACGCAGCATGGAGCACATGAACAGCCTGCTGCACGAAACAGAGGCCACCAATGCTGTTCTCATGGAGCAGATCACTGTATGTACATCTGCACAGGCACAACGCACAGACATAATAGGATCACATTTACTTCACAAAAAACATTGTAACTTTTTTATTAACTTTAATTACATACGCTTTACTATAATTTGTAACATTTGTTTCAATGTAAATATGAAAAATCTCATTTCATATTTTGGTCAGACTGAATTTCCCTTTGTGGTATAAGAAACACTTAATTTAAAACAGCAGTTTATCAATCAATTTATTTACTGATACATTAAATTGTGAGAAATGCCATTTTGTTTTCTAAATTCCAAAAGACATTTTGAAAAATCAACTTTCTGAAGTAGCTTCAGTAAATTAATTTACAAGTTAGTCGCTGGTGAAACCAGTAAACATCAATAGACTTGTGCTTGATTGTTTTTTAACTTGCTGGATTTTATTTTACAGAGAGAAAACAATCAGCCATTGTTTTGTTTTTTTAATTTAACACGATTTGTTCACAAAGGTGTCCCAGGTTGTCATTTTACAAGGACCGATATGCCCCAACAGTGACGTCAAACAACCTGGCATTGTTCAGGGTCCCTTCTTTGTCCAGTATAAAGAACATTCTGTGTCCTTTGACCTTCAGGGGGATGAATGAGGGGGAGTCGTGTCTGTGGGTGTAACAGGCTACCTGGGACAGTGGCACTGTTATCTTGTGGCCTCGGTGTGGTCCTAGCGGTGACTGGGTGCAGAGGGTCACCATTTTTCCTCCTTGATGTAAAACAACTTTGCTCACAGAGCGCCGGCAAAAAAGAATCCCGAGGCTGACGATCGACGAACCTATAGCCAGGCATCCAAGCGTGAAACTGTACCTCCAGGCGTTAGAGCCGAGGTTCATTTCAAAACTCCACATACCAGCCAGACCTGTTACGGGGGTGGACGCCTTGTTTTTGTCCCTGTCTGCACGCCCGTCGGTGTTTCTGAGGCCGGTGAAGGCGAAGTGGGCGAGGTACGACCAGAAAAGAAACTGTCCGCCGCAGAACAGCGAAAGAAGCCGGGCGAAGCGCGTCTTGTCATGCTGGAATAGCGTAACATCTATGGAGGGCTGGCTGGAGCTCGAGCTGTGGCCGCGGCGGGATGGTAGTGGCTTTGTGCAGGAAAATATCCTCCTGCACAGAACAGAAAACCCCGTCGGACCTGACTCAATGCCCGGTGAACTCTGTGTGGATAAACACGCCTTTTTAAACAATCTTACTGAGTGTTGAATGTTGCACAGTGGCGGCTTCCGGGAGCAAAACCCTGAAACTGGAAACAGCAAACGCTCTAAGCCCATTTTGCTTACTTTATCAATAAACACTCGGAAACAAATAAACAAATCAATAGTTTATAGTTGTCATAGTCTAGTCGTAACGAGTGTCTTTGGAGCAGCGCGGTCCCTGCTGTCACAGGAGCTCCGCCATATTTGCTAATCGTGACGTATTATGTTGTACTACGGAAAGCACGGACGATCAAAATAGCTTTAACTTCAAAACATCAAAATAAACCTTTTTCAGTCTTTTAACATATTACACGAAGCACATTTTTAATATACTAAGATATTACTTTTCTATTGTATTTTTAATATACTAAGATATTACTTTTGTATTGTTTATTACTTAAAATATAAAAGAAATGAATGAAGGACATTCAAGATAATTGTGAGGAAAAAATATCAGGTAAAAATTAAGAATTTTTTATTTATAGTATTGTATGTTTAACCTTTCAGTTGCTGAAGAGTGAAGTGCGCCGGCTTGAGCGAAACCAGGAGAGGGAAAAGAGTGTTGCCAACCTGGAGTATCTGAAGAATGTCCTGCTGCAGTTCATATTCCTGAGATCTGGCAGCGAGAGGCAGGCGCTTCTTCCCGTTATTCACACCATGCTGCAGCTCAGTCCAGAGGAAAAAAGCAAACTTTCAGCGATTGCACAAGGTACAGTACATACTATGCAAACAAAAAGTTCCCCTTATATTAATGTGAAGCTTTATTTTAATACACATGAAGGCTAGTGCACTAATAAAGTACTGTTTACACTAGCCAGTATTGTGAAGGCAACTGACTTCCTCCTATTGTTCTATGTTACCAGATCGTGGTTGTAGTTTTTTTAAAATTTTGTTTCTAACAATGTGTGCTCCTGATATTCTTTTGTACAGGTGCAGAAGAAGGGCCTGCATCACGGGGCACAGGCTGGTCCTCATATCTCCACAGCTGGTCTGGGATCAGATAGGCCTCATATTCATACGTTTAACACAAACATTGGGAGCATGATGCTCAGACCTAACTGAGATTAATCTGTGAAAATGGCACCGGGCAGTGATACTGTGCATTCTTGACATTTTCAGTGGCTGGGACTTTATCTGGGCGTTTATTCGCTGTTTGAGTTGAGGACCAATGAATGTAGAAGACAAGAATGAAGGTGAAGGGTAGAGTCAATACCAAAACATTTTATGTGAACATTAAAATGAACTGCGCAGTGGGTAAATTAGTCTGTTGTTGTCAATGAACTTTAACTGTGAGATTGTCCTGTCTTCCTGGTTAAAGACCTCTGAAATTAAATTGTATTTATTAACATTAATATTAAGGAGACGACTATACTTCCTTTAAGGAAAGCCATATTTTGGTTTGGTTTTTTTTTCACCTCTGGATGAGTATTTTGAATGATCTGGGGCAGGTATGATGTAGTCGGGGTAACATTGCATATTTTAGTAGCGGCGATGTGTGCAGTTATTAACTTAATTTGGAGGTAATCTTGTGAGTTATGTGATTCTATCAGTTTTTATGGGCTTATACAGGCGTCCACTGTAAGCGTAAGGAGCTTTACTAGTGTTTAAGCTAATGAAGACAAATAAATACATGCTTTACTTTTTCATATGTCACTGACTGGTTGACTGGCAAAGACTTCTGAATGTGAAGACCAATACCTTACTCCCTAATGAACCACCCGTCCTATTCACTTAAATTTATAATTTATTCACCTAAAAAGCAAAAAACATCAGGTTTATGTCGGCAACATATCCAGTGGAGAAATGTCATATTGTTATTGTTCTGACTAAATGCAGTTATTTAACATTTTTCCATATTTGTGATTTTGTGTAGCCATCAATTGTTCAGAATTTTATTTTCTGTGTAATCTGCTGTTGGTGGGTTTTGTCTTGAGTGCATAATTAATCCAGTATTTTTTTTGTTATTTCCAATCTCAGTCATTAGCTTTTCAACCTCTGAAACACGGTAGATTTATTGCATCTTCACCAACAGACAAGAGCTCGTCATTCTCTACGTGACGTCATCCCCTCTAAAGTGTCCTTGAGTGAGACAACAGACATCTGTGTTGTTTAGTGTCCCATCAAGACCTCTGACCTCTCTGTTGAGACCCTTCCTCCCTTTCTTATATATGTGCACACGTCTCCAAACTGGCTTCTACCTAAATTCATTCCTCTGGCAGCCATTTTTGTTGGTTTCTTTATATTTATACTACATGGTGCCTGCAGAAACTATGAAGAAAAACATGTCGATAAAATATTTACTGTATTAAAGAGTGATTCAGAATCTTTTCTGTTTTAACTATCCTAAAGACAGGGCTCAGGTTTCTGTTTAATCCATAATTTTACATAAATATGGGTGAAGTTAATTTTAAAGATTTATTTACATTATTATGTAACTCAAGAATAAAGACACGCTTTTGCTCAGATTTTTTTTTATACTGATTTTGTTGCACACATTACTTGTTTTTTTTCCAACCACACAAAAGGTATTTAGATTGTCTGTAGTGTCTTAATGTAAAAATACTGAATACTGAGAAGCCCCCCTTCTGATGTAAATTAAACTTGGTTCTGAAGTAACCAGAACCAAGTTTATTTTTTCTAACAAGGAATGAAAAACTTTAAGAATTAAGCAATTGTTATTATTTTTGATGGATATTTGTAGATTCATTTATAGGGGTTTTGTTATTCATTGGATTATGGCAGCGGTTCTCAAACTATGGTGTGCATACCACCAGTTGTTCTTGGACTCCCTCTAGTGGTACGCAGGGGGACATGATTCCATTTGCTGTGGTTGATAAATAGACATATTGTCTAATTAGGGATACATCATGTTGTCCTATCAAAAGTTGTACATAGATGAATAATGTAGTATTGCTCATACTGATTGTACTTGGTATTTTAGGAGGTTGTACATAGTTTAAAAAAATTGTACACCACATTGTCTTTCCTTTAATTCTAGTGTTTTCATCTCTTAGCCTCTGTCCCTCTCTATTTTTTAATTTTTTTTTCCCTATGAATTGGTCTCGTAACTATGGAAGTCCTCCCTCCTGCAGGAGCAGGCAGGCTGTGAAGGCTTTTTTCCATTTAAGGCAGTAAATGTGGTTTTCTGCCACCGTGACGTTTCCAGGGCAGGAAACAACAATTAATAGCTGACAAATGTCCAACTGCTGATAAAAGTAAACACGTTATTGCGACTCCAGCTTCCTGCCGCAACACGTTAAATCTCTTTCCTACTGTCTCTAACGACTTGTTTTTATCCCCCGATTTTCCTCACACATTCCACGTGACACATCCTTTCCCTATTGTGTGTAATTTTTTTTTTCACCCGCCATGTTGAACTTGTGTGTGTGTGTGAAAAGTTTAACTTTACAGTCAGTATGGATAACGTGATACTACACGTTAATTTAGGTTTAGAAGAAGTAGCAGCGGAGACGTCACATGTTTACAGACTCCATCCACAAACACGTCTCTGCGTCGTTGTGGTCTCAGGGCGGATCTCACACTTTGACGGCTGTAAAAACCAGCAAAGTAAAAAAGAAAAACTGAGTGAAAAGCTGCCGTAAACACGCGAACAAATTAACAACGTTAATTTTCAAACTAAAAGGATAACGTTCCTAGATGGCGACGGTGTCTCCATCTGTAATGTCAGCTATGGTTTTATTTTATAATTTGAATGATTTTAATGTATTCATTGCTGTCAAAATGTCACTTTAAAACGGTTTTAAACTTCTGTAATTTAATTTACAATGTTTCTTTTGGCTAATACTTAGCTTTAAGTCATGAGTTGCTTGTTGCTATTTTTCTTTCTCTTTTTTCGCTTGTTAATTTCCCTTGTAATTTTTTTTATCTTACATTTATAGTTTTATATGTTTTCCCAGTTTTATTTCACAGCGAGCATTGTAAAACCTTAACTTTAATGATAGAATATGTCAGTATTGAGTGAATTTGAGAAAGGACATCGTTATGCTAAACGTGTGGTATGCTACTACTGTTACTACTACGTCATCAATTACTCTCAAAAATGTTAATCATAAACATTTGAAGTCATTGTCACTGAAATCCAGATTGCTTTTATTGTGAAAGGTCTTTGCGGAAGTGTCTTTTACATTACAGGACAGAGGCGAGGCTCCCTCCTTGCGCCATTCTATCCGTCTGTGTGTCCTGGAGCCGCCGCTAAACATCTGCCCTGCTGCTGCTGAAAATACTACAGTGATGCTCGCCGTTTCAGAGATGACTAACGGGTGAGTTTGACATTTTAATAAATTATTTAACGAAAAGGTTCGTCACAAAGGTTGTATATTTGACACTGTGAAGCTGGATAAAAACAAAATGAAATGGAGAAAAGTAGTCCGGCAGTTTGGTGACGTTTCTCCGCGGGTTGAATCTCTGTTTTATAAAAAAAAAAAAGGCAACGTTGACGATGCTGTTTATTTACAAAACTGTCTCGTTTTCAGCTTTAAAAAAAGAGATTTTTCATTATGGAAAGTTTATCTACACACGAATCCCTGCAATCACATCTGCTTAAAAACGGTACCTGATACCGCCCTCCACCGGACGGATTTATAGTGAAGTTTCGTACTCTCCTTTTCAGTTCATTATATGAAATAAGTAACGTTATGTCAGTACGTCATCAGGCTAGTTCGTTTACCGATTTGACTGAGTTTTTGTCAGTGAGTTATCAGTAGTCATAGTGATGTTAGGTCCAACATAAACTGTACAGATTGACCAATCAAACCACTCGTTTACAGATATAACCTGCATACACGCTCTCTTCGTATGTCCCCAGCTAACAGTACACGCTGTGTTCACTCATAAATACCACCCTCTGTTGTGCTCCATGTTGTTTTTTCATCTAAATGGGATCACAACTTTTTAAACTGTTCCCAGGAAGAATCAAAACTAGTGATTTTAAGATGAAGTCATCGACAAATAACTTTAGATTTCCATTCAGAAACTTGTATTTTACTACTACTACTACTACCTTGCCTTGGTAGTTACCATAACTTTAGATTTCCATTCAGAAACTTTTATTTTACTACTACTACTACCTAGCCTTGGTAGTTACTTTTACTTAATGGACCTTAATAATTGTGTCCCTTATTAATCGCAAAATTTAAAATGTATAGTTTGATTCTCTGCTCTGCTGTGTGCTAACAAGACAGGCATGCTAACTGGTACACTTTTGAACCACTAGCTCTCACTTTGACCTGTCTGTGAAGAACATTCACACCAAAATATTGTCAGCAACAAAATCAGCTCTTGGAATGTGTAAAAAGTTAAAATATGTAGACGCACATCTGATTGTATTGAAAAAATAGGTCTGATTTCCCAATTTTGTTGTATTATATCAGTGCATGTTTTTCCTACATTAACCAACAGTTTTACTCTAAACAAACTGTCTATTATTTATGCAGTGCATGTTTTTCCTACATTAACCAATAGTTTTGCTTTAAACAAACTGTCTATTATTTATGGTTGAAGTGGAAGATAAACGTAAAGTAAATCAATTGACGTCCACACTGATGTTTTTAGGTATTTTTTTGATCAACATAGTCTCCTTTTTTTTAAATAACGCTGACCTCAGATCAGCATTAATTTTAGCTCTTGTTTTGTGTAAATAAGGTTGAGTCACCGACAAATACCCGTTAAGCCCTGCATAGTTGCAACACTAGAAGTCGAGTTCAAGGTTAACAAACAACTCAGTCACTTTGGTTAGAGAAAGAAGAAGAAGAAGAGGAGGAGGAGGATGTTTCTGTCTTTTCTCCACGTCAGCCTCCTCCCCTCACTGGAATGTCCACCCAAAAGTCACTGGACAGTAGTTATTGCATACTAAACCATTTCCTGTCATCTACTCCCAACAGACTGCTATTTAGAGCGATGCACATTTCAGCAAGAGAGCGACTGCTACTGTGTGTGTCGGCATGTAAATTACAGCCTGGCATGAATCTGTCATTCATGTCACACTGTGGACAGCTTGTGGTTGTTTTTCCATAAGGCTTAGTTTTCCTGGTTTTCCACCGTGTCAGAGTTTTTGTCTGACACGGTTTTGGCTGTTGATACAACTGCAGTGTAGAGGAGTGTGTGTGTGTGTGTGTCAGACTGCAGTGTGTAAACTTGTCCTTGTTAGGAAGAGCAGCAAGCTGATTTGTGATGTAGTATTCAGGCCAGCATGGGCAATCTACGGCCCGAGGGCCAAATGCGGCCCCTTTTTTTTTTTTTGGCTTTTTAATCCGGTCCGCCAAACTTGTCCATATTATGTTATTTATTTCCATTATTGTTATACCTATGCTTTTTCCCCTGCAATGCCCGCATTTCTCCAATAGATGGCATAGAAAAGGTTTCAAGCATTTTAGCATTTTAACCTTTATGACTTTTACACGTCATTTGTTTTAGTTTATACGAACGCTCCATCTATCTGCTCCCCTTAAATGAACTAACACCATGAATTTTTGCATGTTAATTGTTGATTAAAAAAAGTTACAGTGCCACCAAATATCAATATACTATTGTGAAATTAAATATCTCAATATTTCAGTGTATTCATATTTTTATACACCTCTAAATATATGTTGTGTTTTTGTAGCTACATGGAAGGATAGCAGTTAAAAAAGAAAACTTTTTTTATTTTTTGGAAAGTTAGATTATTCAACATTGTAGGACAGTTTTGAGGTTTATCTCTAGGTCTGAACAACTAGGACAGTTCCAGCTGTTGTAACTCACACACACACACACACACACACACACCGGCCAATAGGAAGTGACGTGGCCCAACACTCTGGCGTAACAACACAGAGTTTATAGTGGCAGCAAAACAATAAGCAGCTTATCGTCTTCACTTCTTCAGTGCGACAGAAATCATTGGTGAGTTGAGTTCAAAGTTTTGCATGAACTGTTTTTCGTAGCAGTCGTGTTAGCGTGCATCGTGTAGAGTTGTCTTACTTCCTTCCTGAAAGAACACACGCCACTGTTTATTACTATACCATGTTTGTATGAAGTGTGATGACATACGTAATGCACGTTTGCTTTTTTTAAGCCATTGTTTCAGATGTAAAAATGAAAAATCAGCTGGATTCCAGTGATGTTTTCAGCATCTTTGTTCAGTTCCTCTATATTTGTGTCCACTTCCTCTTCTTGTAGCTCAGTTACGTTGCATGTACAGTAACTTCAGTTGTATTATTTATTTAAAAGTTTATTTCAACAAAAATAACTTTATGTAGGACTTTTGACACCATCAAAAGAGCGTTAGCAAATATAGAATTAGTTTGAAGTAACAGGATGTTTATATGGAACACAGTAGTCAGTCTGCAGGGTGGAGGGAAATAATAAAAGCAGCTGCAGTACCTATGTTGTCCTCATGAATGCAGTGTCCACACATGTCAGTAAAGTGTTCTGAGTGGCGTTGGAATATGACCGGGGAACGGAAATGTCTCTTCTCTGCTCCTCCTTCTTTTCTGTCATTTTCAGGACCTCATGTCAGATGATTAGTGGGATTAAAGGCTAATCTGTGTTGGCATAAGATTGTTGTTACAGTCAGTCATTAATTAACCCCAAGTAACGTTTTTGAAATATGAACTTGATAGGATTTCCCTTAAATGAAGTGAAGCCAATGCAGAGTCAGGAAAAAATAAAAAACAGGAAGAATATGTTGCGTCAGATAAGCAATAACCATTAGTCATGTTTAATATGTGACCCTGAAATGCGGAATTCTTATTGATTAATCTGATGGTCGTTCGTTGGATGGCTTTTATGCTCTGTAACATGCAGAAAATATAAAAGAATGTTAATTAATTTCTGTGCAAAAACCAAAAAGTCAAATTGTCTAAAATTTTCCACATACATTTTGCCCTATGAATATTTTAGTCCACATACATTTTACCCTATGAATATTTATATATGTTATATATAACATGAAAATAACAAATTTACAAAATGTTTTGGGGAAAAAACACTTAAAATTACTCTACTATCAAATATAGCTTTTCGTCTTAATCAAGTCTTTCGTTTTGAATCCAGGGCTTTTAAAACTACTTATAAAACACTAAAACAAGTAAGAAAAAAATCCCTTCTTATGCTCGAGTCACATTTTACGTCGGTGCGTGGAATGCTGAACAGGTCAAGACAAGCTTGTCAAAGTGAACATCTGAATGGTGTAAAAAAAAAAAAGTTTGAACAGAAAAATTGTGTTGATGAGATGATGGAAAAATAAAGGTTCTGTCAAGATTGAGGTTGGTTTAAATAAAAGTTAGTGACGATGTTTAAAGGAGAGAGATTTTAATGTCGTTTATTAGATTTTGAATTTGAATTGAAAATCACAACGTTTTGGTCAGTGTCACAGAATAGAGAGGACGTTAGAGGAAAGGGTATGGGATGTGTGGAGAGGAGACTAGGGAGGGGAGGAGAGGGGGGCACTTGCTCTCACATAACATCATGATGAATTATTCATAGATTGACATTCCAAACTTTGTCAGCATTTGCAGTTTGGCTTCGTGTAAACAATGTACCAGATTTTTTTTTTTTTCCATTTTTTGTTTTTTTTCTCCATCAACAACAGTCTTTTTGTCGAAGCCCATGGTGGAGAAGATGTGGGAGACACTGGGATAAGAAGCCAAATTGTTTGACCTTCTTCTTCTAAACGTCTCTCTCCTTTTCCTCTGAGATCCTCCCCTCCCCCCCCCTCCCTTCTTCCCCTCCACCTGAGGAAGAACCAGGATGAGCAGGAGCAAGGTGTAGCTGATAGGTGAGCTGGCAGCGAGACCACGCCTCCTTAACAGTTCGAGTCCTAGAGGTGTGTAGGAGTGAGAGGGTGAGGGCAGTGAGGCAGCACAAGATTTAATCTTTGGATTTAAATCCAACACATTCTGCGCTGTTCCTCGGGAGTTCCCTTTTTTTCTCTGTGCACCGATTGTTTTCAGCAGACGAGGGTGAGAAGGAGAGGAAGGGAGGGAAGAGTAGAGACAAAGAGGAGATGGATTCTTTAAGGCTGAAAGAGTTGTCAAACTCAGACTTGTACAGACGGAGACAGGAGAGGCCAGACAGTTATGGAGGTCTGGGGAGCCTCAGGTAAGTTTTCCACCCGGGATCTTTGACTCTGCTGCAAAGTTAATGAAGTGAACACATTGGTAAACATATTTTATTATTTTTTATTTATTTAATTTTTTTTAATAGTTTTAATAGTATTATTTAACCAATAACTGAGTTTTGGATTTTCTTACATTTAAGAATTTATATTACATTTCGTCTTTTTTTTTTTTACACACAACTCTCCATAGTTTAACTGTGCTAAAAAGAATAGTTTTTGATGAATATTTTTTATGAACGTATTTAATTTTTTTTTTATGCCACTTCCTTGGTTTCGCTTCTGTGTAAGATTTCACGAATCGGTCAGTTTTTTTTGCATTTTTCAGATGTTGCATTCATTGACTGTTGTTACTTTGTAGATTTTTGCAGCAACTTTATAACTGTTTTTTGCAGTCTTTACTTAAGAAAAAGACTTTTTGAGCCTGAGTCCAGTCTGTGTTACTCTGGTGTTTTCTTTAAGTTGTCATCCTGGTGGTATTTAGCTGGACGTCAACTTTCTTTTCCTTCCTTCACACTTGCTGACTCACAGGTTCATGAGGGACAGAGTGAGTGTGTGTGTGGTGCATCGACAGAGACAGATACGAGTTTAAATGTTGATAATTAAAAATTAATTAATTTTTGAGTGTGTGTGTGGTGCATCGACAGAGAGAGATAAGAGTTGAAATGTTGATAATTAAAAATTAAATTTTTTATTTATTTATTTTTTGCATCATTTCCCCTGTCCTTCAGAGACACGTCTCTGTCTCCTCTTCAGTGTCCATCTCCAGCCGGGTCTTTGAGTGTTTGTGTGTGTGATCCTGAAGTGATCAGAGGAATGTGAGGAATGTGGACGGAAAGAAAGAAGCTCTTCTAGTCGTGTCCCAAGTCGCACTAAAACCAACTGGCTGTCTTGTCCTTGAGCCTTCAGTTCCTGATGTGGTTCAGAGCTGGTTTAACGTCAGTAACATTATTATTTTAAATGAATTCCCTGCTCTGTTTTGAACTGTGCACACTCTTATTTCTAGTAGTTCTATAAAGACGTAGTGCAGCTTTTTTTTGGAGAGCTCCGTGACAGAAGCCGAGTGTGGATTTTGTGTGTGCAGACATCACCCTTTCACTTCCATCCTGTTCTTGTTACTTAATGGCTTCAGGAACCGACTGTGAAAAACAAAGGAAATGATGTGTCATAAATGATGTTTGCTCACGTTGTGAATCAGTGTGTGCGTGTCACTGAGTGTTGTATGCATTTTGTGTGTGCTTGTGTAAAACTGCACACACTCCGTGCCTTGTCAACGGCTTGGCCTAAACAGTCCACGTAGCCCCTGTTGCTATGGTTGCTGTTGACACAGTGCGTGAACTATGGGTGTGTTTGATTTGTTCCGTCAACCTGAGTCTCCTTGTTTTGCACCATTTGGGAATGAGGGCCCTTTAATGACTCCTGAAATCCAGTCTGCAGATATTTCTCTTTTGCTGCTTTTTTTAAAAAAAATTAAAAATGTGTTCAGCACTGTTGCCTGTCGTTAGTTGGGTCGTTAGTTTGCATCTATCCCTGGAGAGATGGACTTTTGTGAGGGTTTTATATATGTATGTGTATATATATATATATGTTTGTATGTATATATGTATCTATATATATGTGTGTATATATGTATATATGTATGTATATTTATACATATATGCATACATATATACACATTTGTATATATGTATGTGTATATATGGTTTTCTTGAGGACGTTCCATATCTCATGTACATATATATTTATATGTATATATACAGTATGTACCATACATATATATTTGCATATATAAGAAACATTTGGGTCTAAGAGTCCTTTTGAGTTAGTCACGTGTTTAGGAAGGAATGTGTTTGGATCCATAAAAATGTCCTTGACACTTGACAAACGCTTCTCACGCTATGTGTCGACAATACAAATATTTTTTTTGATTTATACATGTCAGAACATTCATGACCTGCCCTGTAGAACCCTTCTGAGGTCAGGTCATTATAGCATGTTTCCTACATCATACTCTCCAGCACCAGTGACCAGGCCCCTGACCCCTGACCTTTGCTGACCTCCTAAAGAAGTCTGTAAAACCCTATCCTGCGCCAAGAACACGCCACCAGAGACACCTTGTCCACTGCTGACAGTTGCTGTGGCCATTTTTAAGTTTAGGTCGACATTCATATCCCCCGACTCACATTCTTTCTCTCACTTGCTCTCTCTCTCCCTCTCCCTCTCTCTCTCCCTCTTCCTGCCGTAGTGCCCTTGGCTGCTAATGTAATGTATCATTAAGATTCTTAACATTTCTTTGCTGTGTCAGTTTGCAGCTACATCAACCGGGGCCGGTGTAGATGGTTAAATGAGTGCGGGCACCACCACCACGTCATACACGGTGTTGTGGAGTAGCTGTCCTCTACCACTGGGTGGAGCACCCCGCAGCACGCACTGCGATGACTGTAATCAGCAGCACAGATTACGTGTTTGTTGTTTAAACACCCATCCTCTTCCACTACATTCACTCAACACTGGTTCCTAGATGTGAGGGCTCCCTTATCAGGCAGATGAACTGTACCATGTGACCATGTGACCATGTGACTTTGATGTGGAAACAATGACCTGTAGTGGAAAAGCTCTGTAAGCTCTAAATGGTGTCCGGAGACGGTATGTCATTTGTACCGCAGCCCAGACCAGGGTTGTCAAACATACGGCACTCGGGCCAAAATCGGCCCGCCAGGCAGGTTCAATCCGGCTCACCTGATGAATTATGAAAGTAAAAAAAATAAGCAAAGATACTTCATGCCCATGGTGTTTTTCCAAGTGATATTTTTTTAAATATGATTTTTTTTATCTGTTGCAACAGAAGTGTAGTTCCTCTGGGTATCGAACCCAGGACCTCCTGCTCTCCGGTGCCGAGGCAGGCGTGCGAGTGCAGAAACTTTCCTGCTCTCTGGTGCCGAGGCAGGCGTGCGAGTGCAAAAACTTTCTTTCCTGAAAATTCCTGCGTTTAAAAATAGAATAAAGTATTTTCTCTTTAACGAACGTTTTTCGGTAGGTGACCGTTTGGCTGCTTCTTCTGGATGTTTCCTCTACGAGTCTGCTATGTATACAAACTCAGCCTCACACACTAAACAGCAGCTGCCAGCGCCTAGTTTGGAGTTCAGGCTCTGCCGAGCGTCTATTTGTAGAATGATGGAGTAATGTAGAAGACGGGACAGACGCAGCGGCTCTGCTCCGGTGTTTGCGCCGCTCCGATGTATTTCTGAATCGGGCCTGGTGTTTCGATGGTTCAAGAAGTGGTCGTTAATTTGAGATTCCACTAAGTTAGTTAAACCACATAAAAAAAAAGCTCCACCTTAATTTACGCAGCCGAGGGAGGCTGAGATTGGTGGGTTCAGGGGAATGCGGATCATTGGACGTCAACTGTTGGCGGATGTCCTCAAATAGATGTTTTTAGCTAATCTTCTGCTGATGCTCCTCAAATAGATGTTTTTAGCTAATCTGCTGATGTTTTTCTGCAGCAGAGACTTCAGTCAGGTCATCACCGTTGGCCACTAGGGGCTGAAAGTGAGACGTTAAAACCAGAAAATGAAAAATATTTCAGGACTTCCAATGTCGCAAGTCAGCGTTTGGTCAGGCCATGGTGGCCATCGAAGCCAACAAAAATGTGGAAAATTTATTAAACAGCGATGTCCCTTCCCTTCTTCGTTTCTTTTCTCTCTCTTGCGCTGTTTGTGCAAAGTAAAAACAAAAATGTGTGCGTGTGTGTGTTTTTGCTCAATGATAAGAAACACATGAACATATGCTGTTGTTTTTATTGTTATACAGTCGTCCGACTACTTTGCGCAACACTGCGTTGAATCTTCAGTGTTAGACTGTGTCCAAGAGAACTGCAGGGTTCCAGCTGTGCTGCTGACAGTCGTGCAAAGACGATGTTTAAAAAAAAAAAAAACACACAAAGAAGATTGAAGTGTTTGTGCATCGTTTCAGTGCGTGACCTGACAGAGGTCACTCTTTCATGGCACGCAGACCTCGGGGTCGGCAATCTGAGTGAAGGACCCAAGAATAGACAAGTGTGACAGACTGCATGTGTGTGTCTAAAATAGAGAAAGAATGAGAGAAAGAAAGAGGGAAAAAGAATCGATGGGGGACTGATGCAAAGTGGGAGTGTGTGGAGGAGAGGGTGTCTGTGTGGGTGGGTGTGTGTGAGTGAGTGAGGGAGAGTAGCAGAGAGGGAGTGCACTTCCAGCTCAGTCTGTGTTAGTGCCTCTGCCTCCGTCTTGTTCTTTCTGGAGCCCCCCCACTTCTTATCACTGGATACAAACACAGTCCCAGGAAAGAGGGAAATCTTTGTGTTTTTGTTTTGGCCTCTGAGGAGTTTGGACGTCCATAACCTGTGTCACTATGGAGAGAACAAGCATAGAAATGAATGGTCGAGTCCTTCCCTCATCAATACCTGAAGACATGGAAGTACATGATCACTTTCATCACGAGGAGATGAACGGGTATCACCTGAAGCTCCCTGATGGAGGAGAAGCCGAGGTCCCGGTGTCTAAGTCTCAGAGACGGAAAAGTGACGTCAAAGTCTATAAGGAGTTTTGTGATTTCTACGCTCGCTTGTAAGTAAAGAGTGTTTGAGAACACGGTTATCTTCATTCTTTTATGTTGTTCACCAGAGAAGTGCTGCTAATTCCTTATTGACCAATCAGAAAACAATGTACCGTAATAGAATGTCCTGAGCAGCGTGGGTGTTCTTTAAAGTGTGGAAGAGTTCCAGGATCTAAATTGTGTGAAAAAACAACTATTTTTTTGTTTTTTTCTGGGGCAGTCGTGGTACCTGGAGCAGATCGGCTTCTTGGATCTGGTTGAATAACAGAAAAAAGCCTGGAGCAGATCGGCTTCTTGGGTCTGCTAAGGTTGATCAACAGAAAATAAAAGATCCTCATCCTTAAACAACATCAGAGTTTACATCTACTATTTTATAGAATTGTGAGTCATCTGCGTAGATGCGAACGCGGTTTCATGTTATGTATGCCCTTAGCTTCACCGCAGTGTTACGTGATCTAAAGAAGTCGGATATTCTCACAGCCAACGTTGGGGTTTTTACCCAACAGTTTGATTCACTGAAGTGTCCTGTTTATGCACTGATCTCTCCGTGGGCTACTGTCGGGGTAGGCACACTAAAAGGGCTATTTTTGTGCCAAGGGGGGAGTTGTTGTACAAAGTAGAATATGCCAACTGGCATCCCAAGTATGTGTGCATGAGAGACATTAGTGCTAAATATACAGAGTGTCGTCTACGTCTTTGGACAGATTTAGCCCCATCCCAGGTTTCGGGAAATAGACGTAGTGCACCCACAGGGTTATGAAGTCATCTGTAAATGTTTTTTTTTGTTTTTTTTCTTTAACTAAAAAAAGGCCGTAGGCAGGTGTTACATCCATCTTCATAACCTTGTCCCTGACCATCAGTAGAACCCAGTCCAGTCTTGGGGACCGTCCAAGTCGTGCAGCGACTGTGTTAAATCTGACACTTGTGAGGTGGATGTAACAACTACCTGTAAAACATTTGGCAGCAGTGATTGGTTAAAGATGTGGAAGTACAAATCACGAACAGTTCCTCGGGGGAGTGGGGGGGGAGACGTTGAGTGCTGCCTGAAAAATGAGTCAATATTCAGTCATTTGTCAGCTGTGTCTCCTCTTGTTTTTTGGACAGAAACTGTCTTACATGGAATCTGGGGCGGGTATATTTGGCAAGACTTGGCTTAAACTTTGTAGAGATTTAGCCAAAAAAAAAAAAGTTTTATTTATAGGATTTTTTTCTTTTCCCTGTAGTGGACATTTACAGTTTCACAACAACAGAATTGTGAACAGTTCATATTTGGACGAATGTTGTTTGCAGGAGGATTTATGGTTAAAAATGTAAGACCTTTTAGTGAGGTTAACATTAATGCTGCAAGTAGAAAATGTTTTTGGCAACATCACGTTACCTGACCTTAAATACAGAGAGCACACAAAAGTCAAGAACTTAAAAAGAAAAAAAAAAAGAAAAGACCACAGGCAGAAGGAAGTGACGGTCTACGTCGTCTATCTTTCCCGACGACCGGAGTCCTTTTATAGTCATTGGCCGACGTAGTGGAGCTACCAGTGTGTACAGACTCATTTGGAGAAAATGCACGGTAATGGTCTAATTTAAGTAAAACTACACTGTTTAACAAGGGTTAGCTAAAGGCTCCATATAAGCAGTTGAACGCGGTGTTCGAGGGAATTACTCATATTGACGGGAAACGGTGTTGGATGGTGTCGATGTCTGCGCAGGACAAAACAGACTTTCATCACAGGAAAGAGTCCGTCTGTGGTTCAGACTTGTCTGTTGCCCCGACAAGGTGCTGCAGGCAGATACGGAGGTGGAAATGCCTGAGGGATTTAACACTTCCTGCCAAAAATCTTTTAGGCAATCATAGGCAGGATACATACAGTGGACAGTCGCTTATTTGATTATTAGTAAAATAGGGATTTTGACCAGCTGCAACTTATCTTCATTTTTTTATTCTTTTTTAATGAGACCACTTACAGCAGTGTTCAACTACAACATTCTACAACTACAACTGGAATAAACATTGTTGAAATAAACAAAAGTTTATAGTAAAGCCCATTAAATTTAGTCTGTGTGTGTGTGTGTGTGTGTGTTGCCCAGATACACTCTGGTATTCTGACCTTTTAAACAAAGCAGGGAAAGTGATGGTCCAACTATTTTTTTTCCCTGTGAACTCTTTAAAAAAAACACCTTTTTTTTTCCCTGTGAACTCTTTAAAAAAACACACCTTTAATATCATCACATTTTTACACCTTCTTAATAATATCATCAATGTTTACATTTTTACACCTTCTTAGTATTTAGTGTTTAACTTCAAATTTTTGAAGTATTTATAGCTAATATTTTGCTTAAGGAAGTTTGGAGTCAATCCTGTTTGGATGGCGATAATATTACTTTATATTTATCTGAAAAACAAACTGAAGTTCTTTCACAAATTTTTCAGTCCTGACGTGTTTAATAGTCATTCTCTATTGACCCTGATCCTGTCAGGGTCGACTGGCGTTCCCGGGCATTTACTGTGTTCCCTATAGGAAAAAAGGCCATTTCTCTCTCTCTCTCTCTGTCTCTATCCCTCCATCCTGGAGCACTTTGCATCAAGATCTAAAGATTTTAGGGAAACTCTGAACATTTGTACATGTTATTAATTCTGTTTAATCTGCTGCCATTTTGACTCTGGTTTGACTGAGTGGATTCTTCTGCTCTGCATCAGTGTTGTTTTCATCTTTGTCTGCAGCTGTTTGTTCACTGTATTGTTCAGGCTGTGAATTTTCATGGGTTTTCTTGTGGGTGGCGTTTTTTCATCAGTTCTAATCAGTGCTATCAGTTATTATGTGGACAAAGATACAGTAGTTGTTGGTAGTAATAATCCAATATTAAATCAACAGTGAATCGGTGCGTTAGTGTGTTCAAGTGCAGGCTCTGTCCCATTGATAATGTCTTCAGTTTGTGTTGATAACAAACAGACGTGGTAGTCGTTGGGAGGAACAGATGTGACAGCCTGGAGAGACAACATAAATAAGGAACGTGAACACATTTAAATAACATTCAAGAAACGTTGTGTGGTTTTGTTCTCTGGAAAAGTCAACTTTTAAAAGTCAACGTCTGAATCCCAGCCCTCAGTTCAAATCTTAGCTTCACAGGTCATATGGCTCAGCTTCAACTATGTCTGCTCAGGGTTTCGTGCTCAGGGTTGAATAGAAACCTTGGCACGTGTCTCAAGTTTCCCACCTCATTGATCCCCACACCCTGATGAACGAAGCCAAAGAAAACCTGCAGAATAAATGAAGTCGAGAGCGGGTGGGCTGATAATCCGTTGCATCACCATTTTCCCATCTCCCTTCTAGAGTAGTACACTGCCCAGCTGTGTTTGAGAGGGAGAAAGGTATTTGCTGATATGTTCTCGTGTGACCCTGTTGTTCAAGGGGTCAGAGAAATTCAAGTGATGTGACGTAAGAAGAAGCTCTCGCCGTCTTCTTCTTCTCCAGGGTGGGCCGAGTCTTGATGCTGTGATCCTGTGGAAGGCACAGTGTGAAGGCCGGACTGAGGCGGGAGTTTTGTTTCCACAGGATCACAGACAACATTGACATAATTGAACAACAGTGGGCGCTCATGAGGGGCTGTTGTGTGACTGGCCAAAATTCAAATCTTCTTCTTCTCCTTCATCTCCGTCAACATTGGATCTAATAATGTCGTACATTTTTCTCCTTTCTCTTAAAAATGGTCGACTCTGAACCAAGTTCCAAAGAAAGCAAAATTAATTCTGTCTTGTGACTTATTTTTCAGTCTATCTTTTTAACCTACAACACTTTTGTTTTTAATGTTCATTTGTTCATTTTTTTATATAATGTCATGTCAAACAACCTCGGTCCTAATTATGTTTTTCTTTCTTTTCTTTTTTTTAGCAATATGGCCAATGCGCTGGCCAATGCCATGTGTGAGCGCTGTAAGAGCGGCTTTGCACCCGCAGAGAAGATCGTCAACAGTAACGGTGAACTCTACCATGAGCAGTGCTTCGTGTGCGCCCAGTGTTTTCAGCAATTTCCAGAGGGGCTGTTCTATGAGGTATTTAATCTGTGTTTTTCTACTGCAACAAAGTGATTGGTGGGTCAGAATTGTCAGAACTGTAGAGCAGCAACATTTTATTTTGTATTTATATCCAGTACTTTCTAGTTTTAGGATTTTAGAAAGACTTGTAAATCAGAACTATACCCCATATCATCTGTGGCCACAGGAGGGCACTGTCTACATCAATGACAATGATTGAACAAACCATAAAACCAAGTTTCCAAACTCCTGGCCTGGGGGCCACTTACAGCCTACAACCAGCCCCCCACCCCCAGAAAAAATAAAATACATGTGACTAATAGACTGTTGTGACGTCAGAGATTTCCTGTAAACACAGATACATTTAGAATAAAGTAGATTTAGGGGCAGTTTGCTGATCTTAGCCCCGTAAGAACATTCAGAAAATCAAGACCTCGTTCATTAGCAGTGATGTCACTGTTTACACCTGCGACGCTCCTGTGGAGTCCTTCAGACAGAGAATTTAAACACAGGCCTGCTGGAGTAAACAAAGTACTTTTAGTACAATCTTAATGTGCTATTGATTTTTTTTTTCCCCCACCATTTCCAGTATCTTGTTATTCCATCTGCCTTGACTCAAGGTCAGCGCTTCCTTCGATGGGTTTCAGTCACTCGATGCTTTTTTTGGTTCTTGGTTCGACGAGATTGTGTTTCTCGTCGATAAAAGAAGGAATAATTTCCCTTTGATTTGAGTCTGTATGCTGACTTGGAATGTTGGAATGTTAATCACAGTTCCAGACATTCACAGCTGTTAATTCAACACTCAACTGAACATTATTTAAAAAAAAAACTTTAAATTTTAACTTAAATTCATATTTGTATCTTGTTCCTCTGGGCTTCTGTGATTCACAGTTGACGTAAAATTACTTTGAGAATTATATTATTACCTATTTGTGTCTATTATAAACTTCTATGATTTCTGTATTATAATACGCTCCTGCACAACTGCTGTCATTAAAACTGAATTCTGTTTATAGTTCGAGGGCAGGAAATACTGTGAACATGACTTCCAGATGCTGTTTGCTCCATGCTGCCACCAGTGTGGTGAGTAGAAGAACTGCTCCGTGTGTGTGTTAACTTGGCGTCTGTGTATTTTTTATTACCCGCTTAGAAAGACCAAAGGTCAGCGCTTCTGTTTTTATGGTGGTTTGTTTTTGCGGTTCTCCTTCAGGTGAGTTCATCATCGGCCGTGTCATCAAGGCCATGAACAACAGCTGGCACCCAGACTGTTTCTGCTGCGATATCTGCCAGGCCGTGCTGGCTGATGTGGGCTTCGTGAAGAACGCCGGACGGTGAGTGTCAGTGTATGACCAGCGTCTGTTTTTTCACTGACAAACTAGTTTTTGTCACCAAATAGCACACAGACACCTGAGTTACCCCCTGGGGTAAAGCCACTGTCAACAGAGATCTGGTCTGACAAGTATCAAGCCACTGTCAACAGAGATCTGGTCTGTCAGTAATGTTTACATATCATGAGACAAAATGTCAGTGTGAAGAACTGGAACCAGAGTTATATAGTTTGTTAGATTACCTTTCTTAAGGTGGTGAAAGAGCAGTTGGTTTTATCCAGATTTCAGGGTACAGTTACAGGGCTGCAGCATAATAAAATAAAAATGATAAATTAAAAGTCCATTGAAAATAAATTAAATTATACCCAGAAATAATATAATATTAAAATACAAATAAATCTAAAGGAAATTATGTTGTTAAAGTCTGTGACCTAACAAACCAATGTCTACAAACCAAATAGTTGTCAAAGATTATGAGAAAATACTCAGTTTGTGCTGTTGTTCTTTTGTTAGCCTGATTGAGCTAATGTCAGGGCTCTGTCTCTCTCTCACTCTCTCTCTCCCATTAGGCACCTGTGTCGTCCGTGTCACAACAGAGAGAAGGCTCGTGGCCTGGGCAAGTACATCTGTCAGAAGTGTCACGCCATCATTGAAGAGCATCCGCTGTTGTTCAAGAACGACCCCTACCATCCTGATCACTTCAACTGCAACAACTGCGGGTGAGAGCGCGGGAATGCACGCCGCGCACACACACACAGACAGACATGTCCTGCTGACGTCATGACGCCGCTTTGAACTTTAAAACTGGGATCGAAAAGAGTAATAATTCCTTGAAAACAGACCATACAATTTGAATTCTGAGCGCCCACATGTGGGGTTGCGACCCCAAGATTGAAAAACACTGGCCTAAAACTTCGAGTATAACTGACAAAATAAGTCAGCGATAAACATTTTATTTGTTTTATTTATGTTTCTTTCAGCAAAGAGCTGACGGCAGATGCCCGGGAGCTGAAGGGAGAGCTCTACTGTCTGCCCTGCCATGACAAGATGGGTGTGCCCATCTGCGGAGCCTGCAGGAGACCAATCGAGGGCCGTGTGGTCAACGCCATGGGAAAGCAGTGGCATGTGGAGGTACAGTCACACACTCTTATTTTATTAATGTCCCACTGAAATTTACAATTTACCTCATTTCATCCAGTATTTTTAAATTTGTTTACATGATGTATTTGTATAATTTTGCCCAGTTGTCCTGATGATGATCCCACGTGTCACATGTTTTTCCTGGTTCTTTTATCCACATTCAGCATCATGTGTGCACTATATGTGAGCGCCCGTTTCAGGGCCACCCGTTCTATGAGCGCGGTGGTCGTTCCTATTGTGAGAGACACTTTGACATGGTGAGGGGATCTGATTTGACGTGGAGGATTGGCCTTTAGCCGCCGCCTGCTGTCTGCCGTCTGCACTGTCACTCCCCATCTGAATAACTGCAGTCTCCCAGCTTCATACAAAGACTACACTAATACTATATGACAGTACTAGTTATGGTTGTTGACAGTACTAGTTATGACTGTTGAATTAGTGTTTGTAAATGACGGCATGATGCCTGGACAACTGTCTCATGTTGTTGTCAACAACAGTTGTATCCACTTTACTACTGTTGTTCACTTCACATTAACACAAGAACAATGGGTTTTAATAATAATAATAATAACAATAATAAAATAAATTCAACTTAATTTAATTTTTTTTAACATTTGTTAAATTTAGTGTTATGTTAATGGGACGTTTCCATATTTTTTTATTTTCTTTTTACCTCAAGTTTTTTGCAAACTTGGGAGCCCTCTAGAGGTCATTTTCGAAATAGTTCTACATTATTCAAAGTTTAATATTATTTCATTTCCTCGACCTCCTGGTTGATGTGGTTGTGCGCTGACCTGATAAGGTTAACGACGGGCTGCTGAGTGTGACCTGGTTTGTATATGATAATGCAGTGACTGACAGCTGTGCTAACCACGTGTGCTTGGGCCGTGGGTTTGTTGTTTGCAGCATTTTGTGTGTGCTAAGTGTGAGAAACCTTTCCTTGGACACCGTCACTACGAACGCAAGGGTCTGGCCTACTGCGAAACTCACTACAACCAGGTAAACGTTGATTATATTAACAATATATTTTCACTGAACGCCGTCATCGATCTGAGAGTTTTGAAGCCCAGTGTCTGGGCTTCTTTAGCTATTGCCACACTAGAGGGAGCTAGTTGAGCTAGTTTATGGTGTGATGATTCACGATTGTACTGTATATTTGTAGCTTTGACACCTAAATATTTTAAATGTATATAATGTTATATATACACTATTTTTAAAAAGTTTGCAGGCCAGATGTTCTCAGAAAAACAAAAAAAATTGCGACCGTTTGCAGGCCAGATGTTCTCAGAAAAATAAAAAAAAAATTCAACTACATATTTGACAGATCAGACATTTAACACCAGACTTAATCAACATTTTCTGGGAGGGTTTTAATTTGAACTGTAGCCTGACTCCATCAGCATGTCCATCTAAATACAGAGTGTTGTTTAAATGCTGAGGTGAACTCTTGGGTGCCCTCTATTGAAAACACGGTGTAAATATTGACTTTTGACACTGCTTTGTGTTTCTGTCCCTTCAACCCACGCAGCTGTTTGGAGATGTCTGCTACCACTGCAACCGTGTCATCGAAGGAGACGGTGAGGAAACCCTGAGTCTAACTGAATCAGTGAATATTCAATGTGATCATGGATCATTTATTGGTCCCTGTGCAGCCATTCGTCTGAGTGCTTTTTTACTTTTTGAATGGAAACTAGTCCATTTTAAAACATAGATTGAGAACTTACGTGTCTTTGGACGTACGATATGAACTGAACCAACTTTATTTGATGTTTTTTATTTTTTATTTTTGTGTCCTTCCAGTGGTTTCTGCTCTCAACAAGGCTTGGTGTGTCAACTGCTTCGCTTGCTCGACCTGCAACAGCAAGCTCACCCTCAAGTAAGTGGAGTGTTCCATCTTGGCAAATTTTACTGAAAATAAAAATATGAACAATATAAAAATTTAAAAAAAAAAGAGTTCACCGCTCAGGTTCGGCTAATTATTTAAGGCGGGGGTGTTTGCTTGGCTTCTTGATTTATTTTTTTTCCCACTTCTGCCTCACTGGGTTTTCCTGCTCTTTTTGCCCTTGACCTCTCTGCTCTCTTCCAGGTGTTGTCTTTATTTTTTCTTTTATTATTTTTACTCTTTTTCGTGCCTCTGTCCTTTCCCAATTTAACCCTTTCCTCCTTTTTTTCTTTTTCTTTTTTTCTACCTATCCTTTCCATTGCTTCCTCCCTCCTTCCGCCCTGCTCCGTCAGGGATAAGTTTGTGGAGGTGGACTTGAAACCTGTGTGTAAGAACTGCTACGAACGCCTGCCAGATGACATGAAACGCAGACTCGCCAAGCGTGAGCGCGACTCAAAAGACAAGAAGAAGAAGTCGCCCATCATACCAATGTGTCTGTGATCCTCTCTCTCTCTCCTCTCTCCTCATTTCAACTCATCCTCTGTTGGTCAGTTTAACGTCTCTCCTGCTTCCTTCACGCTTTTGCCTTTTCTTTTTTTTTTTTTTTTTTTTTTACAAAAGTCACTATGTTTCAGATATATAACGAAAGACATTCTTTATTGGGGAAAAATGACATCAGTCACATTGTGAGCAGAAATCTCTGTTGGAAATGCCTTTTTTTTTTTTTTACAAAATCAGTCACATTGTGAGCAGAAGTCTCTGTTGGAAATGCCTTTTTTATTTTCCTTCAACTATTTATTTTTTACAACTAGAACAAGTGGACAAAAAAATATAGAGACAAGGAAAAAATACACTACATTTTAGTTAAGTTTAATTGAAATTTTTGGGCAAGTTATGAACTCAGAGTCCATGTTAAAGTACTTATAACGGTAAGGAAGATTAAGATTAGGATTAAACTAACTACAACTAACTACAAATATGAAATTTTAAAAATATGGCATCATTCAAAAAGTAGTGATAATTGATCATGATTGATTGAAGATAATCCATAAATATTACCATTTGTACCAATGGAATATTGAGCTAGAATAATTGACCTGCTTATTGTTTTCCCACAGGAACAAGTTTGTGGAGTTTGACATGAAGCCAGTCTGTAAGAAGTGCTATGAGAAATTCCCTCTTGAGCTAAAGAAGAGGCTGAAGAAGCTGTCGGAGACGGTGGCTCGCAAGTGAACTCCCAAGTCAAGCTGTGGGAGTAGAGAATAAGGCAGACACTGAGGTAGATGTCACGTTTCCAGATATGACAATCATGTCATCATGGTGTTATTCACATCGATGGTATTACTACAGTAGAGTTCAGAGTGTAGTGAAACACTCCTTTTTATTCACAGCTTTGTTTGTACTGATGATGATGAGCCTTGAACTGACGTCGGTCCGTCAGTAGGTGTCACTTTAACCTGGTTTTGACTGCACTGTATTATTCACACGCTTGCCTTATTACACTCCTACACATATTAGGGCTAATAAATATCCGAATATTGAAATACGTTTTTTAAAATAAAATATTTTTTAAATATTTTTTCTCTTTAAGAAAACTGATTTGTACATCAGTTTCCAAAAAAAAAATCTAAATAAAACAATATTGAAAAACATCTCCTTGCTTTGTCCCATTAAAAGGTTTTAGCATCTTTCGTTAGCATTAGCAACGTAAATTGCTGTCTTTGTGCCTTTCTTTTACTTCAAAATATAAAGACTTAAACTTAAACTACAAATATTCAAACAAATATGTGTTTTATGTTCTCTATTTAAACATCTTTAAACGTTCATTTCTTTCCTACATCCACATGCCCATATATATATATATATATATGAAACGTTAACAAAAATGATATGAATATTAAACAGTATAACATTTAAACTCCAGATAACAAATAATAGCGTGTTTTTGACTAACCGATCAAGATGTCTCTGAAAACGTTTCTTATTTTGGACATGCTGTAATTTACCATCAAAGTCAGACTCTTATTGGTAGGTACGGGCTAATAAGTACATTTTTGTTACCTAGTTGGTCTGCCCCTAGTGGTCAACAGCTTTCCTCCAGGCTGAAAGACAACATCCTTCTCTTATACAGTCTGTACACCTGATACTGTTGTATATCTTTTTTTTTTTAATAAAACATAATCAAATGCTGTTGTGCTGAATGTTTGAATAAAAATATGACTATTTAAGGTGTTCTACCACATATGACTTAATGTATTACTAACTTATATTTTCATAATTCTATGCATCAAGTTTGGGTTTAGTTTGATGAATCGATTGTTTAGTTGTTGTTTTTTTTTCTCTCTTTATCAAAACTGTAAAATGATAATACCAGTATTGGAGGAAGTTTGAATGGATGTCTTGCAGTCCTTGTTTTTTATGAGTGAAGTGTTTTTTTTTGTTTTGTTTTTTTATTTTACAGTACACTGAGGACAGTAACGTATTAAATTCAACCCAGAATATGCTCACAGAGTAGACTGTACTTCACATTGTAGTCCATTTTTTCCTGATCTCCTAATAGATTCAGTTAATATTAATGTCGCAGTGGTCAATTTAATACTGCACTTCACACTCATGCACATGCCAACAGGTATACTGTATGTACAACATAATGCCTGGTGGCATGTGCACAGAGCGGATGTCTAAGTACGGTCATATGTTGGAGCATGTGTCTGCACTTTCTAATCCCGGAAATCCAGGAAAACAATCTTTGCATTAACAGTTAACTTTGCTGAAACAAAGACAATACAGACCATTAAAAAAAATTACATATTATTTTCACAATACACATTCCACTATGTTATAGAAATTCTTATGCAACTTGTTATCAAATTTAGTCATAGAAAACCAAAACCTCCCCACCGTTTTCTGAGGATTTCTTGACTTCACAGGTTGAATGGTATGCCTCGCTGATATATAAATGTATGTGGTTGACTGAGTTGAACCCACTGCTTTGTTTTGTTGTATTGCCTCTTCACGCTGATTGCCAAAAAAAACCCCAAAACCTTTTTTTTATGTTAACACACCAAAGTGCATGTTTTTTGAGTCTTGTATGAAGATTTATTTTTCACTATACTGAAAATAAATGTTTATCATTACTGCCAGTATGTGGGTATTATTGCCTCAGCCTCACAGAATGAAACATGATGTCAATAGTTAAGCTTACTCTGACCACGCATTCGCTCACAGCCATAAGACCATTACTGCTGTAATGCTTGAATCATAACAAGCCTCCAGCCACTAGGTGGCAGCAACTCGTACAGTGGTTTGTACGGATAAAAATATTCATATTCATATTATCAGGTTCTCAATGGAATTCGCGGGGGGGGGGGGGGGGGGGGCGTGAAAACATTTCTGTCCCCAAGGGGTAGTGGTGACAGAAAATAAATAACAATCACTGGATTACAAGCAAGATAATGTATTTGTTGTTTAAAGAAAGCAAATATGTGTTAAGCAGAAATTAAAATTGTTTTTCAAAATGGCCGCTATAAACTACTCCGCTGAAACTTTACGCCCCTGTACTTTATGACGAGATATTGTGCCCTGAGGACCAAGTAAGTGGACATTTGTTCTCTTCTAGTTTCAAACTTTCTTCTTCAGGCCACCGACTCTTCAAAACGAACTCAACGCGCGTCACACTAAATACTCGCTTCTCATTGGCTCACGTCAGTCGCTGCCATTTGACGGTATTGAGACTGAGCAATATCGCCCAACAGTTAAGGAGGGACTGGCGGAGCGACACCAGTGTTCCTTTTTTCCTATGATGTTATTTTGAGTACCTCGCATTCTGACTACAGCGGTTTGGTGTTTTCAGGATACCCGGTGTTGGAGCCATGCGCCGCACTAAAGCTGAAGTGGACCACTATGTCTCTTCAGTGCAGAGCTCTTCTCCTTCACTGAAAGGGGTAAGTTGAGCCGGCAAAGCTAACGTTAGCGACAGCATGTCAGCATGCATTGACACACTCGCCGATCAAATGCGCGCTCACGTTTCTGTCAACTCTTTCAGCGGGTTGTTGGTTAGAGCCCCGTGTTCATGATTTTTTATTTATTTGTTATTAATCACCTTCTGCTTATATATGTGATGTTACCATAGTGGCGTGTTAACGCCTTGTTGTGACCTCCTCTTTGCCAGTCAATAATACGCGGCATGAGGTTGTCGCTAGCTCTTTAGCTTTCTTGCTAGCCGTCTCTTACATCAAGGCACATCTACTAGATCAGAGTCTTCAGTCTTTACTGCGTCACTTAACGTCTGCAAACCCCTAAATTACCCCTGTATTTACTGTAACCCTGTATTTTAAAGAGTAAACTTTACTGGTGACTTAAAATGTTGTCATTTACATGACCCAGCTCGAAGAATTGAGACAATTAAATTGTTATTTTAGGAACGCCCTCATTAAGTTTCGATTCTTATGAAGTAAATGATTTTCGTGACAATAAGTTACACTGGTGAATCGTACATTTGTATGCGTGTCTAAGTTTTTGGACAAATAATGAAAAAAAGAAAGAATAAATGGAGGCACCATAACAAAAATGCTCTTATACTAAGTGACTAACGATGATAGATCACCTAAAGAAAGACTTCCACAATGTTTGAATTTATTAACTACATTGTTGACATTTGATATTTTGAAACGTAGTGAAAACCCCTTTTTTCCACCGTCACTATTTTTAAATATAAATATGTTGTGGTGTCATATCGTAAAGACAGAGTTGTTATTAAAAACTAAAATCAAAGTACAGAGATGATAATGATGATCATGATAATGTTGTGGCCCAACTGCAAGGATGTAACAAGATCCTTTCTGAGTGGATGGTCTGGTTTTGTTCAAGGTTTTCTCTTGTTCGGTGTAAACCCTTCGAGTGGTTGACAACACAGACTCCACAGGAATGAACTGTTTACTGACTCTACATGTGAAGTCATTATGTTAATAAGTAAAGCTTCTCTAATGACCCGGAGGTGTCTCTTGTCATATATTTATAAATGGTCTCAAGTTTAAAGTAGAAAAATTGAATTTGTCATTGTTATATATTTATAAAATAAGAGATGTGCAAAGTGTTTCTCCCTAAACAACACTATAAAATAAAGAAATAAATTAATATTCAAAGGAAATAATGCAACATTAAAAATGCATATGTATTACAGCACCATCACATCACCATCAAGGTATAGCGTTTGTCTCACTCTTCTTTTTTTTCCTGTTTTCAACAGAAACCATCCAAAGGTTTTTCATTTGCTAAATTATACTTTGATGCAGAGGAATATGAACTTGCAAAAAGGTAAGTCCTGAAGACTCCCTGTTATTGCTGGCGTTTGGTATTGTTTGTGTAAAGGTTTCTGTTAGATTGAGTTTATTTATTTATTTTTTTTATTTTTGTTGCTCTGTTATTTGTCCATAGACATGTGTCAGAGTATCTTGTCACCCACAAGAAAGACGCTAAAGCACACAAATTCCTCGGCCAGCTGTACGAGAGAGAAGGAGATGTCAGCAAGGCGGTTGGTTGTTACAAGGTAAAAATGAGTGCCTCAAACATCAAGATCAATCAAATTGAACTGAAACTTAACACACACTCACACACACACTGCCTATATTTTAAGTGTAATTTTTTTATTTAGAGTTATCTGTTGGTGCCACGCAGTCTTCAAGATTATTTTGATATTAATTAAATCAAAAATACATATTGAAATCTAATGTTGATCTTAAAATAATTGAGTGTTAACCTTTCACATTGCGTTCAGACGTCTCAAATAAAACACATAATTCTGAAAGAGATGAATTAGAATCACGACTATTGAAAAAATCTTAACAAATGCCTTTACTTTCTCCGTACGTTTAGCGATCGGTGGAGATTTATCCACAGAAAGAGCTGGTGCTGAAAGTGGCTAAGCTACTTGTTGACGATCAAACATGTGACGGCAGAGCAGAGTTCTGGGTGGAGAGGGCTGCGAAACTGCTGCCGGGACATGCTGAAGTCTTTGACCTAAAGGTGAGACTTTTGTTTTTTTCCTGTCCTATGACCTCATTCATGACGTTGCTGGACGACTAGCAGTACTAGGCATCTTACCGTATCATTGTTAGGGCTGTATTAAAATATCACTACACTGATATCACAATATTTCAGTTCACGATACTCTACTGATTTTTTAACATGCAAATATTCATATTGTTGGTTCATTTTTGTGTTGCATTTAAACCTCTGAACACTAGTTGATTGTGCAGGGACTGCATATATTTGCAAGTATTTCAGACTTTGAGAGTCAAACAATCTTGTTTTGGAATATATTAAAATCTTTGCCCCTGTATGGTGATACGTATCACATCACCAGATTCTTCCTAATATACACCCTGGTCATTTCTCTTTTTTTTATTTGTTTTTTTTCTTTATTTCTGCCGCTGCGTGCAGTTGATCTTGTTCAGTCGGCAGGGTCAGCAGGGATGGAACCGGCTTTTTGACCTCCTCCAGGGTGAGCTGGCACTAAGGCCAGATGATGCTCAGGTCAACGTGAGGCTGGTTCAGCTTTTCTGTCAGCATGGTCGGCTGGAGGAGGCCGTCGGACACTGCCTCAACACTGAGAGGAAAGGTCTGCTAAGCCACAGTCTGGACTGGTACAGAGTAATGGTGCAGACACTGAACGTGAGTATTGCCTTAGAAACTTGGACTTCTCTTAGCTTCAGTCCTGTCGACCTGTTTAACTCTGGAATGGGTTGACCTTTTTTTTTTTTCCTCAGGAATATTTAGCTCTGCCAAACATCTCTAGCAATGAAAAGTTGTGGCGATTTCGTCAGAGGGAGTTGCTCTTGGCCCAGTGCAGTCTGCTGAGAATCACACTGTCCCAGTGTGGAGTGCAGGCCGGCAGTGACGCACTTGAAAGGTCGGTGTATTTACATGTTTTACATTTACATTACATTTACATTGGTCTGTAAATACAGAATGCCACCAGGTGTTACCACTCGTGTGTGATACCATTCAGTGTGGTTAACACATTATTTGTCATCATGTGGCCAAAAATGGGGTGCGTGGCAATTTAGTTCCGATCACTACGACGACGTAAGTTGTCAGTTGGTTTCAGAAAACATTCTTTCCGACGTAAGTTGTCAGTTGGTTTCAGAATTGTTAATCAAATAATTTGCAAAACATTCTTTGTATAATAAGAATAAAGAATGTAAAATTTTCAGCTGCATGAAACTCTAATAATAATAATAATAAAATATTAATATCTATGCATTGGATTTGTGTTTATGTAGTTTGGACAAAGCCATGCAGACACTAGGCGGCGTCGCAGTCCGCCACACAGACGACCTCTGCGAGGCGTTTACAGAGATGAGAGGTCACCTGTACCTTCATGCTGGCACTCTGGTGTTGAAGTTAGCTCAGGATCGCCAGCACACCTGGAGGACTGTCACTGACCTGGCAGCACTGTGCTTCCTGTTAGCATATCAGGTAATGACCGATGGTCAGGAGTACAGTTTTTGTCTTTGTTCCAAGATTGTACAAAGGATTTTTTGTTTTTTTCCACTTTTGCCTGGACATTTTCCAAGCAGTGATTTTTCTGTTTGTCTTTTCATAAGGTCCCCAGACCAAAGCCTCAAGTGACCAAAAGAGACCACTCACCGTCACACTTTCTTGAGTTACTGGCCAATGATCGACAGAGTCAGGCCGGACACATGCTGTTCAATCTGAGCTCAGATCCATCCACCCTAGTCCGAGAGGTGTGTCCACTTGTTCTGTCGTCTTACCTTTGTTAAAAGTCAGACACATTATTACTGTTATTTCTACACCCTCACTGAGTATTTCATAATAACGTGAGTCATGTCTGGTACAAGGGATGTAATGATGCTTCATTCTGTGTCCCTGTAGGTGGTGGAGGCAGTTGGAAACCAGAGCGGTCAAGACTCTTTGGTCAAGCTTCTGTTTGGACCACAGGTCTCCGCTGCATCATCGTTCATGGCCAACGATGACATTCGCTCCATCAGCCCCACGCTTCCGGAGCTTTCTCAACTGGCCAAATATGACTCTGGTAAATACATAACTAGATCAATAAGTAAATAGTTTAAATCACATTTTGAAGACACATGTCTATGCATATATATATATTTTTTATTAT